TAAAAAAAGATTTTATCTAAAAGATTTATAAAATCTCTATATTGTAGGAAACTATTTGACATAATTTCGGAATGTATAGAGAAGTAAAAATTCTAAAATCATTTGGAAAATTCAAAGTTGTGGATTTTCATAAATGAATCTAAAAACAGTATGTTTGTTATGATCATTTAATTGATGAATGAAATAGAAATTCGTAATACCATAAGTGCGACATAAAATACGACGATATTCGAAATTTATTTAAAAGATAAGTTAAAAACATTGTTTTGTAGTCTTTTTTTTTTTGTATCTCTGGGATGTGACCGTTGTTTATTATCATTATTGTTGTATTATTATTTTTTGATTTTTTGTTTTGTTACCGTTAACAGCAACATGAATGGCTGAGAAAGTGTTTAACAAAAAAAAAAAACAATTTTGACGTTTATTTTTTTTCTTTTTCTCGACTTATTAAAAGTTTTGATTATTTTTTCGGTATTTTGATTTGGTGGTGATCTTTTGTGTGTGTGTGTGTGTGGGGCCAGAGTGGAGGTAGAGTGAATATACAATGTTTCGGTTGGTCATAGTTTGTTGTTGGTCTTGTCTTGAACGTGCGCTTTCTATTTGCGTTTATTTATTGTTTACTGATGATAGATGAATTCGTTTAATTTCATTTAATTTTTTATTGTTTTTTTTTTTCTTTATTAAAATTCAAACTTTAAGCTTAAATATAAAAAATAAATAATTTCTGGTATATTTATGCCTGCAAAACATTCAAACAAACGTTTGTAATAAATATATTTTAACAATATGAATAAAAAAATTAACAACAACTACTGCATAATAAAATTTTAAAATTTTTTAACATTTAGATGGACATTAGGACAGACAGATATTTGTATAAAAATCTAAAATATACATATTTTTGAATGTTAAGTGGTGTCAAATACATTCAGCTACTTGAGTTTTTGATTTAAAATATCTAATTTTGTTTTTGGCTTATGGGAAAGTTTATTTTAAAATTAAAAAAAAAATCTTTCAAATCCATTAAATTTGTCAATTACATATTCATAAAGTTTGTATGAAATCAAATAAATATTTCAAACATTAAATAGAAAAAAACTTAATAAATGCATTTTATACATGTTATCGCCTGTAAACAAAAGAGGCTTTCAATTAAATTGAGGCCAAGACAAGAAACCATTAAAATTGTTTAAAAATTAAAATTAAAAATTATAATAATTTTATTGTAGTTGTTGTGTACGTTTTGTTTGTTTACAGTTTAAGGTAGTGTTAATTAAACTTCATAATAAGTTCATACAATAAATGAATATAACACTGTTCAAGTGTCATAAAATTATATTTTTTTTAATGACATTTAAACCTGGTTGGTTGGCTGTACTAAACAAAATTAATAATTTAAATTCAACAAACTATCAACAAAGTTTTATTTAACTTACAAATGCCATGGCCAATTCTTAATTGTATTACAACTTTTAGTTTGGTTTTTTATTTTTATTATAAAGAAAATACAATAAATTGTTTCAATAACTTTTTTTAGAAATTTTTAGTTTATTAATACAAAATAAACGACTTTTTCTTCTATTTTTGCTTGCAATTACTACATTAAGAACCCAAACTAGTTTCTGTGTCAGGAATCGAACTTGCAGCCTCTAAACTAGTAGCACTATTACTCTACCACCTAGTATACGATAACAATTAATAACAAATTTCTTTAAAAATGATAACTAAAGATCTCTCTAATCGTTCTTCTTTATTTAATATTTTATATTAGAGGAAATTTTTCTATTTCATTTAAATTTTTTTAATTTATACAAGATGGGCGGTCTTTTTGTGTAAAATTCAAAAGATAACTAATAAAAAATATTTGGTTTATTTATAAATAATTTATAGGAATTTTATAACATTTATTAATAAATTTTAAATAAACAATACTTAAACACTTTCGTTTTTTTATTCGAAAACATCATAAAAAACATGACTTTGCTAAATCAAAACCTTTTTCTATTTCTATTCAAAATAATGTCAAAACGTATACAATTTTGTAAACAATATTCGAGGAATAAATAGGATAAAATTTTAGTTAGAAAACAATCTTATCTTTGTTTAATTATTTCTATTGGAAAACTTTGTTAACAATAAAATTATAATACACAAAAAAAAATAAAATTCTACAAAATAAATAGTTACGTTTATGACCAAAGAATAAACTTTATGACCTTTGTACTCTTAGAGTTAACTACATTATTAACCAAAAAGTGCATTAAATAATGTAAAAAGTTAATTTTAATAATGCATTCTTGCTTAAAAATTTAATAAGTTTAATTTTATCATAAACTAAAATCAACAGTATAAATTTCAATTCAAAATTTTCTTCAAGTGCATTTAATTATAATGTTTACAAATCAAGAGAACAAAACAAAGAATACAAAAAATTAAATGACACAAAACCAAATGGAAGAAAGCTTAAAAAGTAAAAAAAAAAACAGAAGAGAAGAAAACAAATCAACAAAACAATTTATTGAGGAATATTTTTTGCCTTTAAACATATGTTTTCGCTTACAAAAATAAATTACATAATGCAAAAATATTTATTGCACAAAAAACAACCAAAGTAAATGAAAACGAAATGAAGAGAAAAGCCGCCAAAAATACACAAACAAGAAAACAAAGTAACAAATAATAAACTACATAAAGTACTTGAAGTTTTGCAAAATAAAAATATTAAAATTATTTTTAAAAGTAAAAAAAGAAATGAAAAGAAAAAAATAACTAAGGCTCCTAATTGGCAAAGTAATAAATAATAAAGTGAGTTTTTTATAAATTTAACAAAAAAAAATTCATATTAAATAAATAAAATATTAACTATTCTTTTAACAACAACTTGTAGCTAAAAAAAAAGTTTAAAAAACTATAAAAGAAAAATATAGTTGCTGTAAATAAATTTCACTTTCATTTACAATCTGCAACTGAAGCAAACAACTACTTACCACAACTTTGCTTCAAGTTGATGTTATTGTTGTTGCTAGTAGTTGTACGTTAAGCAGCAACACACTTCAGTTACAACAAATTTTCAACATGTGTTTGTTGCTTTTGTTTTGTTTCTTTTCATTTATTTATTTATATTTTATTTATTGCTGGTGGTATGAATAACAAAAAAACTTTAACAGTTAAAACACCGTTACAGTGTTTTAACTGTGTGTGACGGTGTTGGCCGCCCTGCCACCACACAACTCTTTTAGACTTTGACCAATTTTTAATTTGATCATTTTAGTTTTAGTCTCAACTTGACACTTTTTTTCTCAAAGTTTGTGGTGGAACTTATTGCATTTTGCCTTTGTAACTCACTAATAAAGAAACATTAATTTTTAAATCTTACTTAGTTTATAAATATTTTTGGGCGTTACATGGAGGAAATACTAAAAACTGTTAGTATTTTTGTTTAAAATTGTGTAACTTACAATTTAAATCTAGAAGTTTTTCACATAGCTGTGAATGAATTATGGTCTTAGTTAATTAATTAAACAATTTTATTACAAATATTCATTGATTAATTTAAGTTTAAGTTGATAAGTTTAAAACGGGTTAATTTTGTTTAGGCAGACATTATGGTTTTCTTGCTAAAAATTTAAAAACTACATCGGTGTGGCTTTTAAAGCCAAAACGGTTGTACATTTGCGAATTGTTTAAGTGCCAATAATTTGACTATTAGATGTCACAAAATTTTCCCCAAAAGGAAATTATTGGCATATGTTTAGTTTAAAAGCAAAATTGTTAAGCAAAAGTTAATACACTAAAATGTTGGTTTAAAAAGTTGAATTGGACTTTCAAAAAATAGTATTATATGTATTAATAATTTTATTATGGTTATGTTATTTTTATTAAAATAGATATTAAATAATTTGTTGTGCAAGAGGACTGGTTGAAATAATTACAAAAAGCAATGAAAAATTTAAAATAGAATTTAAAATCTACATATAAAACGTAAATTTTAACTTTCTTTTAAAGTTAAATTTACAACTTATTACCCCAATCAGTCTTCTTCGACAACTTTTGATGATCAAACACTGATTAATCATTGGCACACTTAAAAAGGAAATCGAAAATGTTTTTGCGTAGTATTTATAATAGTTAAAAATCTATTATAAATACTACGCAAAAATTTGTCAAAGTTAATCTTAAGCTGAACTCATAAAATACTCTTTTAGTAACATTTGGAATCACAAAAGTATTTAAACTTCTGTCAGGGCCTTTACTAATCTCTACGTCTAACTAATTCTATTGAGATTCTCAATTCTTACAATTTCTAAAATATTTTAAATATATATTTGCAAAAAAGTAATAAAAAAAACTCAATAGTCAAGCAAAAGAAGCAAAAATTTACATTTCACACGATTGTATAAATTAGGTGATTTCAAAAATGGGAATTCTTAGACAGACAGACACCTGCTAAACAAAAACCAAACAAAATTTTAAAAAAATCTTTTGTTATCTCAAATAATCGGTTTATTCAATTTAATACTTAATTTAAATAAATTAAAATATTATTTTTTTTTAGAATGGAATAAATTAAAAGTAAAGAAATTAAATAAAATCTTTCCAAAAAGTTTAGGTGACACAAAAATAGATTTTAAAAAACATAAACTGATTAGAATAATCTTTATGATAATTTGAAGGAAAATTTTGTACAAATATTTTATAAAATACAACAACAAAAAGTTATAAAAAGGTAAACAAAGTTATTAATTTAAAGACAAACTCTGATGAGAAAGCTGATAAACAAATATTTTGTATACCTATTTAGAAATTATAATGTAAAAAATTAAAACTTATAAAAAAATAGTATTATTAAAATTAAAACATCTAACGTTTTAAAAAGACCAAACCAGACTTTCATAATTATTTGTTTTTGTTTAGCTTTTTTTATATCTAATATTTTTATTTTAAGCTCTTTTTGTTAAAAAGTTTTCGGTATTTTTTCATTTCATTTTGTCTCGACTTACCATTAAATTGAAAACACTTGTTGCTGTTGTCGTAGTAGTTGTAGTATTTTTATTAAATCCATGAAAATAACGTTTAGGCTGTTGAAAATGTAACGATGCATTAGACAGGGAAGCGGAAGTGGTGCAGCTCAACAACCTTGAAGTAGCAGTGGAGCATTTAGTATCTGCCATAGATCCACCTAAATTTTTTCGATGATTGTTCTCTTGTCGTTGCAACATAAGTTGACATAGAAAACGTTGATTGTGATAACGACGCGAACCGACTGCCACGAACAGTCCTTGGCGACCGGAAGTACTTAAACAGGCCATATTTTTTTAGATTTTTTTGGAAAATGTTTAAAGTAAGCAAAAGAATTTTTAAGAACGTTACACGGGTTTTAGGATTTTTTGAACTTTTTTTAAATATTTTTCTTTTTTTAATTTTAAAATTATTTTTTTTATTTAATTTTAAAACTGTTACGACTTCATTTGTGTGCTATTAAAAAATTTATGTTTTATTTTTTAAATTAATATTTTTAATTTTAAAAAATTTAATAATTTTAGTTTTATAACACTTGCACTTTTTTTAAATTAAAATTTTCGTTTTATTTTATTTTTTTTTATTTGGTACTTGTTATGACTTTTTTATATTTCGAAAAAAGTATTTGACCATAACGTCTGAAAATGAACGTTTATCTATTTTGAAAGTATTTTTTTTTTAAATTTTAATTTTACACGACTAAGGACGGCTTAAAAGACAACAAAATCGAGCGTTGCGTTTGGCTCCAACAGCTTCGGCAAAGTGTTTTTTGTTTTAAGCTGCAAGTGCCTAAGAGCTTCAGTTTAATAAAATAGTTGGTTGCTTGTCTGGCTGACAGACTGACTGGCCAGCTTGCTATTTGCTTTACTGGTAGATAGGTTGGTTGGTAGATACGACGTCTGTTATGTTGACTGTTAAGCTTGACTTTAGAGCTACATACATGCGGGCTATTATAATACACTGGCTAAACTTGTTTCGCAGCAGAGGCGCCTGCGCCTAGGTTTCGTTTTTGGCAATTTTTCGTTCCCCAAAAAAAGAGCAGCTTAATATGTGGTGGTGAGTATACCTGTAAGACACGCTCTCTCCCGCTTTTACATTAGAGTTGGATAACTTTTGGTTTCAATGTATGTATGTGAACTTATCGTCTTGAATGTTAAGGCGTATCAATTGATTGCCAAAGAAATGACCATAAAACTTCTTTACCTTTGATCGTTTAGCGGGGAGAGTGTATGGGTTAAGCAGCAAGAGTTTTGTTTCACCTTGGTCCAAAGTTAATCAATCACCTCAATCGAAAATTCTCCGGCTGTTCTTAAACATTTATTTTTAAGATAATTACACCATTTCGTTATTTATTTCATTTATCTTTGATGAAATTCTTTTAATTATCTATAATTTTTAATAATTTTTTTTTTGTTATCAAAGTTGTTGCTTAATAATAGGAACTTTTAAGAATTTCATTTGGTTTTTGACATTTTTGACGTAATTTTTTCTTTGCCAACATATGATTGCCATTTCCCCCACTTTCGAACATGTGTTTAACGAATATGCGTAACAAAACAAAGAGAACAAGAAAGTATATTGCCAGATCAATGAAATTAGGATGAAAAGCTTTTTATAGAATTGTAACGGAAACTTAATATTTAAATCGATAAATTAATAGAAATAAATATTAAAACTGTGTTGTTTAGAACTTATTTAGTAAGTATGCTTTGAGAAAATGTTGAGAAATCACTATTTTATACCTAATACTTTTTTAAAAACTAATTATGCAGAAATGTTAATATGGTATTTTCAATCTTCATAAAATTTACATGAGCAATTCAAATTACAGAAAAATTTGAAAACAACGCAAACTCTTCGAAAACCAAACAAATTGATATTAACTTCTTCTTCACAAATTGCCGGTTCACACAGGGAAACTTTTGATTTTGTGTGTGAGAAAGAGAAAGAAATATCAACCTTCTTTTTCTCTCACATACAAAATCAAGTGTTTCCAAAAAGTTCCCTGTGTGAACCGACAAAAACAACTTAAACTACAAAAAAGTTTAAAACAAGTTAGAATGCTATATTCGGCACTGCCGAATCTTAAATACCCTCCACCTGCAAACTACTTTTTATTAAAACCCAAAATAAATATGTTATAAATGGTTAAAGTTATAGGGCCGAATTTATAGTTTATACTAAAGAAATAAATTTTACTTAAGTATCAAAGTACATACTAAGTACTAAAGTACTTTATTTTCCGTATGGAGAACTGTAAAACCCGGCACATGTTTTGTTTCCGTAATTAAGATACTATATATCATTTTGTAACTTATTTATGCATGTATGTATGTAACTAATTTTGATTAGGCCCAGAAAGATTTGTATTAAGTGATTTTCAGATATCGACCGATTATTCTTCGACCTATTATGTTCCGATCCTGCCGATAAATTATATGGGAACTATGACCAATAATGGACCAATTCGAAAAAAAATAATCAAAATGATTTATCTATTCACAGAACATACTCATGTCGAGTTTAATAATAAATTATGTGGTATTAAGTGCTTTTCAGAAGTGAACCTTATATGGGAGATAGTTATGGACCGATGCTGAAAAAATTCCTTATATGGAATGTAACCAATTATGGACCGATGTGGAAAATTTTCACGAATGATTTATATATACAAAACAAATTCACGTCGAGTTTTACCCTGATAGCTTTATTTAAAGTAATTAATATTTATACACAAAACATATTCATATCGAATTTTATCCCGATAGCTTAATTATCAATGAATTAAGCTTGTTTAAGTGATTTTAGGATGTGGACCTTATATGGGAGCTAGTACCAATTGTGAACTGATCCGGAAAAAAATTCACTGAATGATTTATATCTATATACAGAACATATTCACCTCGAGTTCTACCCTGATAGCTTTATTAATCAATGAATTATGCGCATTTGAGTGATTTTAGGATGTGGACCTTATATGGGAGCTATGACCGATAATGGACCGATCCGGAACAAATTTCGTAGAGTAATTTATATACACACAAAACACATTCATGTCGAATTTTATCCAGATAGCTTTATTTATCTTGAATTATGCTCGTTTAAGTGATTTTCGGATGTGAACCTTATATGCGAGCTATGACCAATTATGGACCGATCCGAAAAACAATACCGTAGAATGATTTATGTATATACAAAACATATTCATGTCGAATTTTATCCCGATAGCTTTATTTATCAATAAAATATGTTCATTTAATTGATTTTCGAAAGAGGACCTTATATGGGAGCTATGACCAATTGTGGACCGATACAGATCTAAGTCAGTAGTTTTGATTCCTGTTCATATAATGTCAATATGTACAAAATTTTGTGTTGATACCGATATATTTGAGGAAGTTATTAACGATAAATTAATTTCCGGTAATATGTACCTTTGTATGGGGGCTATGGGATTTTAAACATAATTAATCTATAGATGGAAAAAAAATCTGTGACAAAATTTGTCGAATTATCTTTGGTAGTTTCTGAGAAAACTACTCAGGAATTAGGGAAAAAAACTTAATTTTTTTGAGGTAGTCTGAAATTTTTACTCATAACTTTTTACGTTGTGGACCGATTTTGCTGATTTTCAATACCAAACTGCTTAGGAAAACAATGAATATTCTCAGTGAATTTGGTTGATTTCATTTGCTTAGTTTTAACGTGACCGTGTTTTAACCAGACAGACAGACAGACAGACGGACAGACGGACATAGCTAAATCGACTCAGAATTTCATAAGGACCCAGAATATATATACTTTGTTGGGTCTCAGATGAATATTTTTTGGTGTTACACACGGAATGACAAACTTATATATACCCTCTATCACCACTGATGGTGGTGGAGGGTATAAAAATAGTTAATAATATTTTAATGAAATACTGTCGTTCTACTAAAAACACGTCTAAAACTTTTCTGTACAAAACTTAACTAAAGGTAATACATATAATTATTTTATTAAAAAAACGTCTCGAAAACTTTTGTGTAACAGATTCGGCAGACATTTATTTACCAAATTGTTGAATAGAAAATTTTTTTCTAAAAAGTAATTAATACGCTAACTGCACCATTTACTTTTTCCGACTTCTTTTTGAAAGTTTTTGGAACACATATAGGTACATAATACCATAAAATATTTAATGAAACGCTTATATTTTTCAAAAAAAGAATTATCCCCTTTTACCCATTTTGATACACTCTAAGTTTTTGCCTAAAAGAGTTGGCAATACTGTTAACAGCTGTTTCATTTTTTATTTCTACATTCTGTTTTCGTAATAACAGCGTGAAAAGTATTTTTCAATTTATTTACGAGAAATTAAATAAAAAATGTCTCGTAATTTAGTATTTTATATGGCAAACTTTATTAACCGCCTTGAATCACTATTACCAACAATTTTCCAACAAAATGCTGGATTTCCTGGTAAGATTTTCACACATCATACGACAAGAGAATTTTACAAAAACTTTTTATTTTAGCTTTGGCCTTAGCCGGCATGCCCAGCACCTATGCCGGTCGTTTTAATCAAAATACCCAAGATCCTCAACGTTCCCTGAAGGATATTATAGGCGATGGTATTCTGTGGGCTGTACCCAAACACAGACGTACCGTAGAGAAACGTTTGAATCGTAAATTTGGTTATCCAGAATACAATTGGAAACCATTGCGCGTCAAAACCCATTTGCGTACTTGCAATCAATGTGGCCATGATCATGAAGCTGGTATTTTGTGTCCCCATTGTTATAACAAAGTTCGTGAAGAAACTAAACAAATGCAAGATCAAATACAACAACAATTGGGCCTGAATCCCGTGGAACAAGATGTTGTTATCTTATATGAAGGAGAACGTTCCGAACAGCCTTCGGAAATGTTAAACGGCAAACGTATTGTAGAAATGCCCAAACCTAGACCTTTGTGGTTCACCAAAAACCTTTTGCAAAAAACCACACAACAGCCTTCAAATTCCAAAGAAGTCAAGCCCAATGATTTAGCTTAAATTAAACATTGTTAACTACTTATTAGAATTGTGAAAAGTAAAACAAATTGGATTAAATAACTTTAACAAGATACAGCCGTTTTATTACAATGAAATTCCATTTCTGATTTTGACAACTTTTTCAAAAAGCCATTATTGAAATCTATGGCATTCATTGGTTTTTTGCCTTCTACGCGTAGTTTAAAAATTTCCACAAATGTTTCCTTAGCACATTTCACCTGCAAGCATTTACGTGCTCTACGATACTCAACAGATCCAGGGGGAGATGAAACAGAAAATGGTGACCTTACAGTAGCGGGTGGTAATTTAACTTCCAATATTTCTATAGATTTTGTTTGAAATTTACAAGTTAAAGCTTTGAAAGTGTATAAAGCCCGATGACGATTGTATATATCCTGAGCCGTCATATTTGGCCAATCTATTTCGGTTATGGCGGGAGTTATTTTGGGAGCTAAAAATTGGAATATCAAGTAAAAATCTATTTAAAGCTGTTTTAGGAACTTACCATAGGAGGCTTCTTGTTCATTTTGTTTTAAAGGATTTTCCAAAGTTTGAGGACACCCTCTTACTACTTCCAACAACAGATTAGCTCCTTCTTCTGCCAATTCTTTATGTAACTCCGGCATATATACATCGGGCTTTATAGTTACAGATTTTTTGGCGAAAATCTAACAAAAAACAATTTCAAACCAATTACATCTTTTATTGCATATACATATATGTACCTACATCACCGATATCAAAACGTTTGGGCTCTATACGCATTATGCTAACACCAGTCTGCTTATCGCCATTCATAATGGCATAAATAATAGGAGCTGCTCCGCGCCATCTTGGCAATAAACTGGCGTGCACATTAATCATACCTCTAGGGAAGAAAATTGTATTAATTCCTTTACTCTGTTTAATAAGGAAAAACTTACAAAGGAAATGCTTTTATAAGTTGCGAAGGTATCATATGACCAAAAGATACTACAACTCCTAAATCATAAGCATGACAATCTTCTGCTACGATTGGCCATTTATATAAACGTAATTTTTGCTGCTCGGCATACTGCCGCACACAATTAGCTGGACTTTTGAAAGAGGTAACAACTGCTAAGTTTTCAATTTTACTGGAAAGTAATAAACGAATTATGAATAAATATTTAAAACAATATTTGTTGTTCAATCCCTCACAACTAACCTATTATTATGCTTGTGTAACACTTTAAGACTGGGCAATGAAAAATTGTCTGTACCAAAAAACAACACTTTCAAGTCATTATTATTAATTTTTGTGCTTAATGTTCTTAAATAATTCAGTTTTCTTTTATATTTATAAAAATTTGAAGAAATACTCGATAAAATCATAGCGGTGCTCTAAAATCTAAACAGCTGTTTTTGTTTTCTGTGATTTGATTTCTCTTCCTTTTGTAATAAATTTCTTTTCCGTCAGAGGGAGTTTTACACAATAACAAATTCAAGGTTGTATTTAGTCAAATATTATTGTTACCAGATAAAAATTATAATAAAAAGAAACCGTTGCTTAACTTTTCTGAAAAATGCAGATACAGTGGAATTGCGTTCTGTTATAGACCGAATTCCGAACAATCTACCTTTTAAAAAATTGTATACAATGGAAATCGATAACAAATCTAAAAGTTAAAGAAGCGAAAAGTTGCAAAGTTAGGAACTAATCATGATGAATGATGAAATATCAAAAACCTAATATTATAAGAACATTTTGACTTTTTTCTTATTTCAAACATAGAAAGTAATATATATATAATTTTTCTTATTGCAAACACAGAATGTAATACATATATGTAATAAGAGTCAAAAAGAGAACAAAATTGACAAAAGTCAGAAAAAAGTAGAAAAAAGGTCGTGGATATTAAAAAATCGACCATTTAAAAGTTATAAAGTATATGATTCTGAAATGTCGGAAAGTCCATTAAGTGGTAATTCGACTATTCATAAAGTAGAAAAGTAAAGTTCTATAAATTATTTTAGAGAATCGGCCTTATGTAAAGGAGATTATTAAAGTTAACTATAGTTTACTGCACACTTTTTCCGTATAAAAACAGGTTTTAATAACCATTATTAACTTAATAATCGTTTTTGCATAAGACGTAAAATAAACATTAAATATTTAGGAAAAAGCACTAAATAAACAACATTGTTTATTAAAGTACTTGGTAACCAGTAGAAAAATTCAATAACAAAGAGTGACAGCCAAAGTCAGGCGAATTCATTTTATTTTTTTATATGAAGTTTGACATTCAGTTTTTATTTTTGTTGCAGGGAAATTTTCCTTTTTTATTATTAAACAATTACTAATAATAAAAGATTTATTTACACCAAAAGCGTAAATGTTTGACAAATACAGTGTTACAAAATAACATTCTCTAATTTGGTGATAAAAACAGAATACGACTATGGATACCTTATCACCCGGAAACCTCAGCAACCAGAAGCAGCATTTGGCTTTACGTGTAGCTTTGGATACTATGAAAGATCGTTGCATTTTACAGCAAAAAAGACTTTCAGAAGTGGAAGAGGAAAATCAACAATTACGCGAACGTTTGACACAAAACACCAGAACAAATAATAGCAATGCGCCACACAATGCTGGTGGAGTGGCTGAGAATTTTCAATTACGCTTGCAGGTCTCTGAATTGCAACGTCAAAATGTACAGCTCAATGCTCACATCAATATGGTATCGGCTGAGAATCGCAAGCTCTGGCAGCGTCTGTCACAAATGGCCAAAGATCAAACAAAAAGTGTAAAGGACAAAGACACCACTCTAACCAATTCCAATGTAGTGGTGGGCAGCGATGATGCCGTAAGTCCTCGATCAGGAGGTAATGGTTCAGCCAATCAAAATCTTATACGCTCTAAAACTTTCACACAACATTCTCCCAACCCCAATTTGCGGCACAAACTTTTATCGACCGATAATAGTGGATCTTGCGAAATGCTAGATGTAAGTTTGGAGGCAGATGTTGCTCTAGAGGTCTTTGGCGACGAGAGTGGCAGACAACAGTCAAGTGCTGGCAATGATGCTGTTGTGAACCAGGTGGCTATGGGTTTTGGTTATTTAAATGTTGAGGATTCATCTTCTAACTCTCCATCACAAGAGCAGGACTTTAATATAGAGGCACGAAAGTGTATGGAGGGTTTGCAGGAGATGCGCCGCGAAGCGATGAAACAACAACAGGATTTAAATTCAGTTTTTGCACTGCTAGAGAGTCGTATTGGTAAGTGTTTATTTACAAGGCAGGCATGGAAAATTAATATTTTAAAATAGCACTAACTTATCGCAAGAAGACTATTTTTTTAGGTTCTAAAGTATTAAACTAATTTTCCGCTAGACTATAGATACACTAGACTACAAACAAGACAATATTAAACTATATTAAAGATTAGATTATATACCAGACTATAGACTAGATTATAGGCTAGACTATAGACTCGACTATAGACTAGGCTATAGACTAGACCATAAACTAGACTATAGACTAGACTATAGACTAGTCTATAGACTAGACTATAGACTAGACTATAGACTAGACTATAGACTAGACTATAGACTAGACTATAGACTAGACTATAGACTAGACTATAGACTAGACTATAGACTAGACTATAGACTAGACTATAGACTAGACTATAGACTAGACTATAGACTAGACTATAGACTAGACTATAGACTAGACTATAGACTAGACTATAGACTAGACTATAGACTAGACTATAGACTAGACTATAGACTAGACTATAGACTAGACTACAGACTAGACTATAGACTAGACTATAGACTAGACTATAGACTAAACTATAGACTAGACTATAGACTAAACTATAGAGTAGTTAATTATAGCGACTAATTAATTGACGATTTCATTAGCATTAAATTCAAATTTATTAATTAAAATAAATTTTTTAAATAAAATTATTTAAAAATAAATTTTCATTACCATTATTCAATGGATTTTAAAAATTTTCGAACATTAGTTTGAATTTCGAAATTAGTTTCGAATATCCGAACATTATAATGTATTGTCATTAGGTGAAATCATGTATGCCTAATTTCAGCACATTCGGACTAGAAGAACTAGTTTTAACAGCTTTAAAAATTTTTCGAATACGAGTTCGAATTTTCGAAATTTTTTTTTTAGGTTTTATGACACAGAGATTAATTTAAAAACATAAAAAAATTTTCAAAAATAACTTCGAATTTTCGAACTTAATTTCGAATATTCAAACATATTATTGTATTGTCATCAGATATACTTATGACTGCAAAATTTCAGCCAATTTGGGCTACGGGAACTGGTTTTAAAAGCTTTCAAACCTCGAATCTTCGAAAAATTTTCCTTAATATATTTTTCGACAATTATAAATACTAATTAAATTCGTTTTTGAAAATTCATTATCAAATTCATTACCATTATCAAAAAAAGTTATAATGAGAAAAATACAATTTTCATTAAATGGTACTTAAAATATTTTTCATTACAATTTTTTCTATAAATGGTAATTAAATTTTAATGCTTAATGAAAAATTCCCATGTATGCTATAGACTAGACTATAGACTAGACTAGACTATAGACTAGACTATAGACTAGACTAGACTATAGACTAGACTATAGACTAGACTATAGACTAGACTATAGACTAGACTATAGACTAGACTATAGACTAGACTATAGACTAGACTATAGACTAGACTATAGACTAGACTATAGACTAGACTATAGACTAGACTATAGACTAGACTATAGACTAGACTATAGACTAGACTTAGACTTTACCAAGCCTGGTTACACTTTTTTTTGCCAATTTTTTCTTTATGAAATATTTCGAATTATGAAATATTTCGAATTAATTTCGCAAAAGAATTTTCAATTTATAAAATTTTTTTTTAATGACTCTTTCAGCTCTTCAACCCTGTCCAGAATGTGTAAAGAAATCCCATAAACCTGAAATGGCCGATAAAAGCCTCGAAACCGATGAGAGCTTAAATGATGTAACAAAATACAACAACTGTACTGCTAATGATCTAAACACTATTTACTCAGAGTCATCAGCTAAAGTAATACCAGTGGTTCAAAGCAATCACTTGAATATAATACAGGACAAAATACTAGCCGATGAAACCAATAATATGTGTCCTATGTGTGGAAAAATCTACGATAGTCAAGTAACATTTGAATCGTTCTGTGAGCATGTTGAAGAACATTTTCGTGACGATAACTTACAGGAGGTTGATCACAGTATGGAGCATAATTTTGAATTAATATCGCATACCGTAGGTGATTTCTGACCCAACAGAAATCGTATATATTTCTCATCCGATTTGTAAAGAAAAAATAAGACGTGAAGAATTTGAAAACTATAATACACAGATTAAACATTTTTTAATTTTATTGCATTTTAATAATATGAAAGAAAACTTTTCATTTTATTAAATTTTACCAATTAGATTGAAAAATGTGTATTTAAGTGATTGAATGGTGGTATTGAATACATGTGACAAATTTTTGTTTTTAAAGTTATAAATAATTTATCTTAAATTTAGTCGGCGACTGATTGCAAAGTTACATATTTAAGGGGCATTCATAGTTTAAATAAATTTATCGATTGATCATTTTATAAATTGTTGACTCCTCAAAAATGCACACTTTTTTATTTCATCAATTGAAACAGTGAATCCCCTTAACAAATTGTTTATGTTATTTTTAATTTTATATAAAAAAGTAAATAAATATCAAAAAACATTCTATTAATGTATCATACTTTTACAAGGTATGAACAAATTTATGTATATGATGAATTTCATTTCTTCGGATAATTTACTGTTTTATACATACTACATATATATATTTTTAACTATCTATTATTACAACTACATACATATATATTTTACTTGAACTATGTTAAACATAAAAGCTAAATCCAACTTATGAATAAAATAATAAAATAAATACAAAATGAAATTTGATTTTTATTTTAAAGGAATTAAATTTAACTAGTGTTTATATTATGCAAACAAATGTTTGAATAAAACCACAAATATTTTGCTGTGTCATTGTTTAAATGTGTCATTTGATAAAATTAAATATTTAATGAATTAAATTAACCTTCATAGTATCGAACACATTTAAAATGAGATAATATTTTGCCATATTTAATAGAAATTTTCAAAATCTTCATAAATTAAACTTAAGCAATTAATTTCAAAATTTTCATGTAATTATTATTTTAACTAGTAGCATATTGTAACGAAAATCTAGACATTGAGATAAGGGGGCTTAGGATAACGTTTTTTTATTTTACTAACACTTAACAAACTCATGATAAAATTTCTAATATATTATCAACAGTTACTTTGTTAGTCATCATGTTCATTGATAACATTATACGAAATATGAACTTATTATTGTTAATACAACAGAAATTAGTCTTGATTTATTACAACAATATATGTACATATATATAAAATTACAACAAATGCTGTTGTTAATTTTGCTTTTAAATTGTAATTTGCGTTAAAAAAATTTTTAATTGATGTTTATAAGAATTTTATTTAAATTATATTTTAATACTAAAAAGTTGTTGGTAAAGAAATTTAAATTTGGTCTTTTCATCTACAAATTTTTATGTAAAAGTTAGTTTATTTTATAGATACTTTTTAATGACAAGTTGTAAACATTTTTATCAAACAATACTTAAGATTATGAACCCTATTTAAATAGTTTCAGAAAGTTTACCAAATTGAAAGAACTATTCTAACACGGTGCTACAGTACATTAAAAACAAGTGAAGTACTTTTAACGGAATCATATTTACATCACATAAAGTATTTTATCTTAATTTACATGAAAAGTGAATAAAAATATTCTGAATTATGTAATTGAGAAATTGAGATAAAGATTTTGAACCATTAGACTAGTCCATAGATTATCTAATATACTAATCAATAGACTAATACGAATAGTAAACAATAGACCAGCCAATATATTAACTAATAAACTAGTCCATAGATAAGTCAATAGTCAAGTCTATAGATTAGTGCATAGATAAGCCCATAGTCCCCAGATTAATTGATAGACCAGTAACAGACTAGTCCCTAATAAACCATAGATTAGTTGACATAGACAAGTCCATAGACTAGTAGACATATATGTACTCATTGTCATTAGACCAGTTGATAAATTAGATAATAGACCACTAACTAGATTTGTCCATAGGCTAGTCAACAGAATAGTCCATAGGTCAGTCCAGAGGCTAATACTTAGCATAGTCAATAGACTAACCTGCGACAAATCCTTCCGTCTGTCTATCTTCTATATAAAACGATGCGCAAATTTTTCTTTATTGTTTCTAAAACAATATTGACAACCGGTCAGTGCTTTTTCCCTTAAAACCAAATCCATGAATGGATCTTAAGCGCTTCAAAATATCTGAAATATGCAAGCAAAATATGTAATATGAATTTTTAAATCAATATTGGATTTGTGATTATTTATTATGAGGATATAAATTAATTTAATGGAATGATTTGGCAAATTTTGAATAAAATATAGAATTTATAAATGTTTAGCATTAAGACTTAATAACATCATAATAGGCTTGTTGTTTTTTTTTTTTTGCTCTTAAGTCAAAATATAATTTGTTGTTTTTTTATCGATTTTGATCTATTATGTCCTACTTAAGACAAAATTTTGCACTTTACACTGATATAAAAAAATATTTATTTATTCATACTTGTTTGTTTTTATTAAAGTTGTTTTGGTTAATTTTTCAAATTTAGCCAATTACAGCAGAGTAACGATATAACGAACTACAGAGTTAAATAAACTTAGAAATCAATTTTAACTAAATTAGTTCTTAAAATATTTGTTACATATACTAATTAATTGATTTAAGTATAATGATTTTAAAGAAGTAAACTGTTTTTAAACATTTTCAAATTAATATTACTCATACTCTGCGTTATAGCGATGATATTCGTTTTTCCTTAACTCGTCTTTTTATTCACCGAAAGCTGACGCAAAACCATACTTTTTCACCAACCACTTAATCAACGCCAAACTTGTTTACAAATTTAATTTAAACAATATATCAAACTATGAAATATTTTATATTTTTATTGGTACATGCTTTATGATTGAAAACTAAATACCCTTTCCGGAATAGTCGGAAGTGAAAACAGAAAATATGTTTTAAATTTCAAAGGAGAAAAAAATAACACACCGAAAGTACGATACAAAGTCGAATTTTTAGGGCATTATTTTTATGTGGGGTTTTTTGCTAACAACCGGTTTAATTAAATTATTTTTTTGTTTTGATTTTTATGTTTTGCTAACAAAACTCACACCGTTATACAGGGTGTTAACATCACAACGTGCTCGAGAGAGTACTTTTAGTTTCTGAATAAAAAACGTGACCTACTCTAACATTTAGGGGTTTCTGCAATTTTGGTATTTTTATTTATATTTGATTTTTTTTAAACTTGTTTTGAAATATATGGCTATTAAAATAAGCATAATTAACATAATTAAATAATTAAGATGTATTTAAATAAAAAAGCCATTAGTTATTATATTTTTAGCAATATTTTTAAATTTATGATAGGCGAAAAATCTAGATACATATTATGTATTTAATTGAATTAGTTAATAAAACAGTAATGTTTATTCGTAATCGATAAACTTAAGAAAACTTCCAGGAGCTATGATTTTTAAATTTGTCTAATAATGACTGTGCAACGCTACAACGCTTTGTATTTTCTAACATTTACACCTAACAACTAATAACGATGATTTATAAGTACAAAATTGCATTCTGAACTATATCGGATCTATAACCTTTACAAAAATAAAAAAGAGTAAATAGCAAACATTTCATAGTTTTAAGATGATATACTTTGAGCACCGCTTTTAAAGGGGATTGTGGGATCGTTGATCTAAGCTTTAATACAAACATTCATGTCATCAGATCATGATCACACTTTTCTCTAACATGTGTGAAATACATACATAAGTAAATCTTTTTATTTGAATTCTTTTCTAAGCATTCTCTGTACTAAGATCATCTCAAATGCCTCTTTTGCAGCCAAAAGGGCTCCAACTCTCTTTCCATATTCACTAAAAGAAAAAACAGCATTCCAGGCATGAATTTAATCATTTGATCAATGAGCTAACGTGGCCCTTCATAGCACTTCTGAGAATGTTTCATTCTCAATTTCATGAATTTGTTTTTGACTTCACTGTGAATTGATGGTATGTAATTGATTATAGATTCAATGAAAATATTTCATATTCCATTTTCTATTTCGACTATATTGGATTTTGAAATAGTCCTTGTAATATTTTCTGTATAGTTTTTTAGGAGCACTTCTTGTTTAACGTTTAATATTATGGATATTATAATATATGTATGTCGGACCGTTTCGAAGTGGAGGAAGAGGCCATCTGGAAGATGTTTTAAAGGAGTTTAGTTAGAATGGGAATGATATCTGAAACAAATGCAAGTTGAAATTATGTATGTATATTAAATATGTAAGAAATTATAGTCGAGAATTCTATGTAATGTTATTGATGCAAATCTGATTTTCTGAATGGACCAGGGCTAAGTATTAACAGACCCTAACTAAATTTGATGGAGGGATTTTTGCTAATAGACATAATTATCACTAATGACCAACGACCAACTTGGAGGATCCGGTTGTATGGGGTCTAGGTGAAATAATGGACCAATAGAAACCAAAATTAAAAGCGTTCATCCTTGGGTCAAAAGTAATACGTGTAATGTAATGAGTCGATTGGTATACTTTAAGTGGGTATAGGGCCTTTAATTTTGTGCGTTAGAAACATCAGCACAAATCCAATATACCCTCCTAACTAAAGTTTACAAATAAGGTTTTAATAGTTTTTTTTTCGTACATTTTATTGTCACTCTGTATAGACATTCAAATACTAAATTGCGTAAAATGATTTAAGGGCTTTTTAAAAATGTCAAGATTTTTAGATAAAAACTAAAGGTACCTGCTCTTAAAATGTGTTATATAATCTTAATCAACAAACTGGGCAACTATTTAATGACTAAAACATCTAAATAAAATAAATTTTTTAACAAAATTTACTATTTAATAAACAAAATAAAACTAGGCGTGATTATATAGTACATAAAACACAAAAATAGATAATAATCGAATTAAACAAACATAATCAAATAATAGAAAATAAAACAAATATTTAAATGCCTACATGAAATACCATTTTGTAAATAAAAATTAAACAGCTTTCAACAAAACTTTATGACAAAGCTATTTTTATAAAACCATTTTACCAAAAAGTTTACTTAAACCAAAATTAAACATTAAATTTTAATAGTTTTTTAAATGCAACCTTTCTTTGTCCTTAAAAATAACAAAGTAAAATAAGTAAAAGAATTTTAGTTTTGGCCATTAATTTTAAGAACGAAAAAAAACTAAAAATTAAACAATTAACCATAAAAGTGAAATTGTAACGAAAGTACTTTTGTTTAAAATCAACTTAAAGGTTTAATTTAAAAATTATGCATAATATCCCACCAAAAAAAAAGAAGCTATTAATTTTTTTTTTAATTAACGGCCACAAACAAATAACAGAAGAAAAAATAAAACAAATCGATAAAACAAAATAAAATACAAAAAAAAAATTTGCATGTGAAATAAAGTTGAAAGATTTTGTATGAATTTGACTATAAAATCTCTTGACCGGTGATATACATTTTAGTCACTTGTCTGGCGTGTATCAAAAAACTACATTTAATATTTTTAGCAAAAATAAATTGAAAAAATAAGCAAACAAATAATTTTTGTTTAAAAAAAAAATCATTCATTAGAAAATTTTAATAACCAGAACAAAATCCAATTATTTAAAGGAATATTGTTAATTAAAAAGATACAAAAAAAAGTTTAGTGCAAAAGTAACATGGTGGCGGCAAATCAAACTGTTCAAAAATTATTTTTACTATTGCCACTGGCATATCCTCCAGTGGGCAGAGGTAATGAAATACATAAATATTTAAATACTTTTTTTTAAACAGCAATAAAAGCTTAATTGTTAATAAATTATAAACAATAGATACAAATATTTCTACTTTATGTGAAGTAATCTACATTTTAATTGTTTTGGTGTACGTTGGCTACTGTTTGTTGAAATATTTTTTTTCTGTTTTTAAACTACTTCCTGTTTTATTATATTGTTATTTTTTATGTTTAGAGTTAAATTACAAAAGTTAAGTTCTTGTTTTGCAGAAAAAATTAAACAATTAAATATTTAACATTTTTTTTTAAATATTTTTATTTTTTCGTTTTAAAATTTGTTTTAATAAAATGCTTTGACTTTTTAGTTTAAAGTGTTAAGTGTTTTTTAAGGACATGAAGAAAAGGTGAATTTAATTCTCAATAAAAAAGTTATGGGTTAATTGCATTGAAAATAAAGATTTGGAACCTGTTGTCCACAGACTAGTTAATAGATTAGCTAATAAACTAGTTCATAAACCAGTACATAGATTTGTCCTAGTATATTCTATAGATTAGTCAATAGGCAAATCAACATACTAGTCCTGCCAATGGACCAGTTATTAACTAGAATAGTCCGTAGCTTAGTCTGTCCATAGATATTTTCATATTATAGCCGATAAACCAATCAATAGTCTTGTCCATAGGGTAGTCCATAGATTAGTCTATAGACAGGCCAATAGGCTAGTCACTAGACTAGTCCATAGGCTAGTCAATAGAATAGCCCATAGGCTGGTCCATAGGCTAGTCCTTAGACTATCCTATGTACTAGTCCATAGTAGAATAGTCTAGGCTAGTCAATAGACTAGTCCATAGTTTAGTCTATAGACGGGTCTATAGGACAGTTAATCGACTAGTCCATATGCTAGTCAATAGGTTAGGAGTATACCCGACAATATTTATCGAACAGTTTAAGTATTTTTCCACATTTGATCAATCATTATCAAAGTGACCGCATTTTGCCAACGCCCCCACCACTGTAGATTGACATAAAATAATAAATTATTTAGCAACTACTAATCAACAAAAGTGTTAATTTATCTTTCAAAACAGCTATTATTTCCATTATTATATAATTATTAACATAATTAAAACATTTACATAAATTTTATAAATACATATTAATGATAAATATGAACGAAAGTGTAACAGTTTAATTTGTTGTCTTTTTTTTAGCTCCCGATAGTGCTATTGACTGGTCATATGAAAACCCCCAAAGTTGGGGCATTAACTCACCACAGTGCAATGGCAACCGGCAGTCTCCCATACACATTAGAAGCACAACGGTGAGTTTTTATAAATAAGTTTTTAATTTTGTTTTTATTTATCAATAAAATATTTGAATATTTAACTATGCTCGGGGTTAAATAAATAAACTTTATTTTTGAAGATGCTAACAGCAAAATATATGTTAATGACACTTGCTAACCATTTGACTGAAAGATCAACTGACTCATTAATAAAATGATTCGATAAAAAGTAAAAAAAGGCAAAAGTGTTTTCGATTTAAAAAAATTTTATTTTTAAATCAACATAATTTTAAAAACACGTTTTTGCATAATAATGTTAGAAAAGATGAAATAAAACATGACATATTTGGAAAAAATAAACCAATACGAGGCCTAGCCTAAAAGTTTATGGTTATGGATGTCTTACTAGTTTAAGAGTTCATTAAACCGTTTTATTTATACAGATTTATTCAAATAAATAAAAACTGACCAAAATTCATACTAATTTCAAGGATATATTTGCTAAAAACATGTTTAAAAATGTATGAACATTTTTATATAAAATTGCCAAAAACATAAACATTTTATAATCTCTTAAAAATATACCTATTTATGTTAATTATAATTTTAAAAATGTGAATATTTTTATTAAAATTTATTTAATTTTCCGGAAATATTTTCCGAAATTTTAAATAATTTTATTAGTTCCATTCTTTTAAATTTAACATAACAGGTCTATTTTTAATTGTTTTAAACAATAGCTTTCTGATTTAGTTGCTAGCAACATTTTTTATTTGTTGTTATTTTTATTGCTGGCTAAAATTTTCTAATTTGTCCATGAGCCATAAACTACTGCCCGTAAACTGGTAGGTTTAGTAAACTATTAACTAATTAGCATTCATAAAATCCTGTTTAGAATTTAACACATTTATAATGCAATTAAGAATTTATTTCTTATTTTCAAATGAGTATGAAAGTGTTGGGATAATGTGTTACCCTACAATCAGCCACATTTGAGTAAGGAATTAACTGGACTTAAAACGATTTCAAAACTCAAAAAAGTTTTTAGACTTTTATAGTTTTTTATTTGAAATTTTAACTTTTACTCGTTAAACAATGCACAGTGGTATAGGAAAAAAAAAGAGGGAAATAATTCGGTAACTTCTAAACGGTTAATCCGATTTTAATGAAATTTGGTATGCACAAAGAGGAGGTGTTGTCGAGTTTAGGTTTTGAATTTGGACCTTATAGGCCAACCAGGGGCCCGGCGGGGGGGTCCTCAAATTAGGACACCTCGGCTATGTTAAATTTTTAAAACGATCCTATTTCTTCATTTGAGTTCCGATTTAAAAAAAATTTCGTATATAGAATCTCCTCATCGAGCACTATAAAAAATGTCGTCGTAGCAGTAAATTATCTCTTATAGTTTAGGAGATATTCGCATTTGAATATTAAAATTTTAAAATTTTTACCGTCCTTACTTTAGTTTTTTTGATAATAGCAGGTCCAAATATTTCCGATTTTCGCCATTTTTTTTTATTTGCTTAACAACAAGTTTATATACCAAGCAGTGAAAGAATTATGTAAAAATCATGACTGAGTCCAAAGTTATAGGCATTTAAATTTAAAAAATTAAAAAAAGGCGATTTTTTGTCATTTTTTTGGGAAAAAAGTATCTTTTTCTTTTTAAGTTATCTAAAAAGTTTCTAAGAAGATGTATATAGAATTTATACTTTTTGGAAAGCTGACTTTACATAAAATACGATAAATGAAACAAAACCTAAAAATTTTTGATACCGAGGGGACCAGGTCCATCCAAAAAAACCCTATTTTTTATGGAAAATTAAATTTTGAGCAAAAATTCTCAAATCGCATAGTCGATATCAAATTATAGTGACCTGTTTTATATGACCCAATAAGTTCTTAATCATTTTGTAACGGGTTTCGATAACCCCGCCCCTGGTATGGATATAATAGGCAAAAAACCAAAAAATCCCATTTTTGGGATTTTTTAAAACTTTTTTGGGAATTCCGGGATTTCTAATAAGAAAATTCGAAATTTTTATTTAATTTTGGATTTTGAGTAAAAAAATCTACCTAACTGTAAAATTTCATCAAAAAATATTCATAAATAAAATTTTTATTGCAATTTGAAAAATTTGTATCTTCGCAAAAACTGAATAAAAAACATTTTTTAATTTTTTTTAAAAAAAGTATTCCGCGAATTTTTTAATTTTCAAAAATTATATACAGTTTTGAAAAATAGACAAAATTACCTTTCCATTGATATATAACATGCCTACCTAATGTTTTTTAAGTGACAAATTAATTAGGGAAAACTCAACATCTTTTAGAAAATTTACCTAGCACTATTATTTTCATCCATATATGTAACAAATTTAAGAGTTAACCTTATGGATGAAAATAATAGTGCTAGGCAAATTTTCTAAAAGATGTTGAGTTTTCCCTAATTAATTTGTCACTTAAAAAACATTAGGTAGGCATGTTATATATCAATGGAAAGGTAATTTTGTCTATTTTTCAAAACTGTATATCCATATATGTAACAAATTTAAGAGTTAACCTTATGGATGAAAATAATAGTGCTAGGCAAATTTTCTAAAAGATGTTGAGTTTTCCCTAATTAATTTGTCACTTAAAAAACATTAGGTAGGCATGTTATATATCAATGGAAAGGTAATTTTGTCTATTTTTCAAAACTGTATATAATTTTTGAAAATTAAAAAATTCGCGGAATACTTTTTTTAAAAAAAATTAAAAAATGTTTTTTATTCAGTTTTTGCGAAGATACAAATTTTTCTAATTGCAATAAAAATTTTATTTATGAATATTTTTTGATGAAATTTTACAGTTAGGTAGATTTTTTTACTTAAAATCCAAAATTAAATCAAAATTTCGAATTTTCTTATTAGAAATCCCGGAATTCCCAAAAAAGTTTTAAAAAATCCCAAAAATGGGATTTTTTAGTTTTTTGCCTATTATATCCATACCAGGGGCGGGGTTATCGAAACCCGTTACAAAATGATTAAGAACATATTGGGTCATATAAAACAGGTCACTATAATTTGATATCGACTATGCGATTTGAGAATTTTTGCTCAAAATTTAATTTTCCATAAAAAATAGGGTTTTTTTGGATGGACCTGGTCCCCTCGGTATCAAAAATTTTTAGGTTTTGTTTCATTTATCGTACTTTATGTAAAGTCAGCTTTCCAAAAAGTATAAATTCTATATACATCTTCTTAGAAACTTTTTAGATAACTTAAAAAGAAAAAGATACTTTTTTCCCAAAAAAATGACAAAAAATCGCCTTTTTTAATTTTTTAAATTAAAATGCCTATAACTTTGGACTCAGTCATGATTTTTACATAATTCTTTCACTGCTTGATATATAAACTTGTTGTTAAGCGAATAAAACAAAATGGCGAAAATCGGGAATATTTGGACCTGCTATTATCAAAAAAAACTAAAGTAAGGACGGTAAAAATTTTAAAATTTTAATTTTCAAATGCGAATATCTCCTAAACTATAAGAGATAATTTACTGCTATGACAACATTTTTTATAGTGCTCGATGAGGAGATTCTATATACGAAATTTTTTTTAAATCGGAACTCAAATGAAGAAATAGGATCGTTTTAAAAATTTAACATAGCCGAGGTGTCCTAATTTGATGACCCCCCGCCGGGCCCCTGGTTGGCCTATAAGGTCCAAATTCAAAACCTAAACTCGACAACACCTCCTCTTTGTGCACACTAAATTTCATTAAAATCGGATTAACCGTTTAGAAGTTACCGAATTATTTCCCTCTTTTTTTTTCCTATACCACTGTGCGATGGGTGTAGTTTTTTTATAATTTAAAATCTGCGTTACATACGTATTATTTCAGTTGAAATTACATTAACCTTAAACTCAAAAAATTTATGCATTTACCGTTAACTTTATTACAAATGTTTTTATGTCAAACTGTTGAAAAAAGTTTAACTATTACTTTACTCGTGTAAACATGTAATTGGAGTAAATTAGTTTGAGTTTTAATGAAGTTAAAAATAAAACTTTATACCACCCTGCATTACAGGGTGATAGTCCCGAACTAGCTATTTAACCTAGGTTTTAGTGTAAATATAATTTTTAAAATATAATTTTTAATTCAACAATTAACATTTTAATAATTTTATTGTTCTATAACTAATATGAGTTCTTATACGAACCTTCATCCGGAAATCGTTTTAACTTAAAAATATATATCATTATTGTTATAAAATTTAATTAAGGTGATTTTTAATCACTAAAACAAATGATTATTAAAAGATCTAGGGCCCATTTTAGACCCCCATACTGTTTCCTCTGGTGTAGAATATTACATGGTCGGAGGTGTTATTTCAAGTCTACAATTGAAAGTGATGATCGAAAAGTTCTTTAATCTAATTTAAGACTAATTGTTTGGCAAGTGTAAACATTATTAACTTTTGCTTGTTAATTAATTAAATTACAATATGTAGTAAAAAACAATACTAAGCATTTACACTTATTTGTTGACATTTTATTTTTGTTAAAAACAACAATAATTTTCACACCGTTTTTCATAATCATACAAATTTTCTGATCCACCCCCGTTACGCATTTTTAAACCCTACAATTATACTAAAAATTATCATTATCATTATTATTCAATTATAATTATAATTGAATAATACCATAAAAACTTTAATAGCTTTTGAATAATAAACAAAACATCCATTTGTATCATTTAGAGTTATATTCTGCCCATTGCTCCCATAAAATTCGGCAATTACGATGTTCCACTGGCTACAAATTTAAATCTAACAAATAATGGTCATTCAGGTGGGTACTGTGAACTGTAAATAATTGTTGAAATTAATTAATTTATTAAATTATTATTTATATTTGAAAATAGTGGAGTATACAGTGCCTTTAACAACAAATGGTCGACGTCCCTATATCACGGGTGGTCTTTTGCAAAACAGATATGAAGCCATGGCAGTGCACTTCCATTGGGGTTCGGCCACAACTAAGGGATCGGAACATGTTATTGACAATCGTCGTTTTGATGTGGAAATGCATATTGTTCACAAAAATGTTCAATACGCTACCATGGAGCAAGCAGCCCGCAATAGAGATGGTTTAGCTGTTTTAGGAGTTATGTTTAAGATAGTCAATGTAAGTGGCAGATTAAATATTAATTTTCATATTCTCTATAAACTGTTTAACAAATTGTTTAAATCTTTTAATTACTTAGGTACCTGATCGTATTTATCCCGGCTTATATAGAATCTTTAATCAATTACCTGCTATTGTCAACTATCAATCCTCTGTTAGTGTTACTGGCCGCTTGTCTTTGGGTCAAATGTTGGGTGATTTAAATACTAAACAGTTCTTTACCTATAGTGGTTCTTTAACCACACCAAATTGTGCTGAATCAGTTACCTGGCATGTATTTCCTGGTGCCCTGCCCATAGCTCGAGAACAGATACAAAAGTTCTGGTCTATGTTAGACCAGAATGGCAATGTTTTGAATAATAATTATCGACCACTACAGAATCGTAATAGACGTCCTGTGTTCTACCGTATTGCTGGTAGAACAAGTGGTTAATTTAAGAGTTATTATTTTTAAATCATTCATTTTATTAGATAATAAGTTTAAATCATAATTATTTTCATAATTCTATGTATCATGTTGATCATGATTTTAATAAATTATTTATGTATTTCACGTATAAGTATTTCATCATTAAAATAAAATCAATTATTACTATTTTATATATATTAAACTATAAATTATTCAGTTTTATTTAAGAACATTTTGCCACGATATAATTATCTGAAATCACGATTTGTGTTAAAGCCTCAACAAATATGGTTTATAGAAAATATATTTATTTTTGTGCAAAAATAAAGAGACAATTATTTAATTTAAACTATTGTTAAAGTGCAGTCAATATTTTAAAAGCAATATTGAAATAATTTAAATGAGGATAAATGTTTAAAGAAATTATGGTGCATTATTGGATAATTGGTTTAATTTGCATATTAAAATTTAATAATATAATATGTCGTAAGTAAATGCAAGTGTAATTTAGATGAAGTTAAACAAATTATTAATTATTTCACAAAAATTTAATAAATTCCAATTGCGTTGCTGAAAAGATTACATTATAAGATTATCTCTTAAAAATAATAAAGTTTCTCATATCTCTAGAAAAACTATAGCTTATTTTCCATATCAGTTTCTGCGATTACGATTTGATGCATAGAGCTTTATTGTCTATTTTCGAAACCATTAATTGTACCAACTGTTTACATCTGATCAAAATCTCTTCGATTTTCGTGGCATTTTGTAATAGGCAATTAGAGTTTTATTATAAATAAAATCTTTAAATTGCTATTTTCTTAAAAAAAAAAATCATATTCACATTCTATAGCCAAAGAATTAGATTGTAACACAAATCAACGTGATGTTTTTTATCATTAAAATGTTTACAATCAAAATAGTGATAATTATGTGTCATCTTCATTAAAAATCTACAACGTGACTTATAAAGCCTTCAAGGAATCCTTTCCAATTTCATTGTGTACAGAAAATTTGCTCATGATTTGAGTAGGGTTTCCCTAAATGTTATTAATATTGTAATTCCAAGTGATTGGTCATATTGATTGATCTCCACACCTATGCTTATTAAAACAATTAATTTTATTAAACTGATAGAACCAATACAAATAAATCCGCTTTATGTAAAAAAATATATCCGCTTTATGTAAAAATAGGGTGTCCCTTTGAATGTTACGAATATAGTTGAATTATTTTCATAAGACAAATATAAAAATTTCGTAATAAAAGCAGGATAATTATTTGAAAATATAGCGGCTATTAAATCATCTTTTGTCTGAATTTCGGACAAAAGATGACTGGACTATAGAATAGTCAATAGTCTCTCTGGACTATACCGCAGTCTATAGTCTGGACTATAGAACAGTCTATAGTCTGGACTATAGAACAGTCTATAGTCTGGACTATAGAATAGTCTAAAGTCTGGACTATAGAATAGTCTAAAGTCTGGACTATAGAACAGTATATTGTCTGGACTATACCGCAGTCTATAGTCTGGACTATAGAACTGTCTATAGTATAGACTATAGAACTGTCTATAGTCTGGACTATAGAACAGTCTATAGTCTGGACTATTAAACTATTTGTGCAATAAATTTCATTAATGTTTTTAAACCTTGATATGAATGTCAATTCAAAAGTCATTATCAAGGGACAGCCTAACCTACGATAATCCACGTTTAATAAGAGAACTCGAGCACATGTTAATTAAAATTTAATCTTTTATTAAGTGTCGCAGACTAAAGGTATTTTTTGCAACGAACTTGTACAGCAAATCTATGATTTTCTTAATTTTACAACAAAATACATATGAGTGTATTTTATTTTTCAAATAATAGTTAGTCTTGAGCTTAAACCTCCTACCTGTAGTTTGGTTGCTTGTTGGTTAAAGTCATAAAGGTAAAATTGCTTATAAATTGTTGTTGTTTAAAAAACTTATTGTCTTTAAAAATGTTTATGGTTTCGAAGGTTTGAGTAGATAAAACCTTTTTCTTTGACAAAACAATGACAATAACGACTCTAATGCAAAATGAGTAGGATTTTCAAAGTTTATGAGTGGAAATATGTCAATGTATGTATGTTAATATTATGCCGGTAAATCTTTTGTTTAATTTCTAAAAGAGATGTATCTACATGCATATGAATACCATATGTAAATAAAACCAAATGCTGCAAAATTTTAACATAAACTCATATGTACAATATTTACAGCATAAGTTTATAGTTTAACTCAAAATATGATCAAAAGATTGAAGAATTACATTGGAGTTTGTTTATATTTTTGAGTAAAAGTTAAAATGTATAAAAAATAATGGTAACAAAACATTTCGAGTTCAGTACATTTAAAATTGTTAACGGAAGATAAACGCATTTACTCGGCTTAAGACGGTCGGTGTTGTGGTAGTTGTTACTCATAATTAATAAAATACAACAAAACCAAAACGTAATTGTAGAAAGTAAACGTTACTATTTGAATATTTGAAATTAAAAATTTGTTTTTTTTTAATATTTTTCATTGTTAGATTCAACAATATCTGTGTAAAAAGAATAATTCCAAGTTGAAGCATAAATAATTAATTCTTAAGAATTGTAAAAGAAGTTAAGAATTGTCATGAGTTTTCCGGTGATCAATAATTTCTATCAACATTTGTTATTTCTGCTGCCATTAGCTTCTGGTATGTAATCAATGAATGACAATAAAGAAATACAAAAAATAATAACAAAATGTATATTAATCTATGAAATTAATCAGGTGTGTCGACAATAACAAATGAAGAGAACTCTTTTTAAATTATTGTACGTTACCAGTAGCAGTGACAACATACAATTTAAACTTGAAATTTTTTTTAATTGCTGCCATTAGTAAATAACTATTAAATGTGTGTTTTTCCATGATATAGAAATATTTTAACCAAATTTATTTTTTGGAAAAATACTATTAAGAGTTTAATTTGGGTCAGTGAAATGTATATTGCAGCACTTGAAAAAAATGTAAATTTTTAAGGTGCATAAGTAAAAACATTTCCTAGGAACTAATTCCGAAAACTATTAAATAATAAATTATAAATAGACAAACCACATTTCAAAAGCGAACAAAACAAAAGACTTAAGACATAAACTTCTAATTACTCTTTTAATGCTGACATTAATGTTTATGTCTTAAGTCTTTTGTTTGTTTACTATTTTTAAGTTTGTATGTACTTAGTATTTTTGTAGTCCATTAAATAAAATAATTAGATCTTCCGTAAATAGCACTTTTGTGTTTTTTTCTTCTTCTATAAATAGTTAAATATAAATGATTGTTTATTTTGAAAAATTTTTGGGGATATTCTATAGAAAAAAGATGTATATAATTATGGGCAATTAAAAAAAGTAATTAAGCTTCAAATAAAACGTGTTATAGTGTTTAAATTATTTTTAAAGTTTTTGTGTGAATATTTATGGACTCTTTATTTAATTACCAATTAATTTGTGGCCAATTTGCGCTACGATTCAAAACTATTAATGAAGAATTAAAATGAAATGTTGTTTATGCCTCTAGACTTATACTTTGAGTTCTAGAAATGCATACTGGAAAAATTTTTGCGCCATAGGACACGTAAACTAGTGGCTCCACTGCTCTGAAGGAAAAAAAAATTACAGAAATGTTTGGAATATGTATACAATTATCGTTTCATTAACATATAAAACACAAAAGTCGGTTAAAAATTGTAAATGTTGCAAATTCCTCCGATCATTTAGTGTCACAAAATACTTATGTAAATATGAAATTTAAAAACAAAATTAACAAATTTTCTAACAAAACCATGTCATTTCATTAAATATATTTGTATTAACTTAAATGTGAGTTTTATCCCTATTAGATAGATTAAACCGTATTTGGTTTTGAAACTGCTATTTGAAGGGTTTCCCATTTATGACTATTAATGGGAAACCCTTCAAAGAGCAGTTTCAAAACTCGAATTTCAAACTTTTAATAATTTTGTTATGAATGTTTGTGTTAGCCAGGAATGTTATTTCCAGAATAACATCACTTCCAAGATACTTTGATCTAACTTCGACGAATTCCTGACAGTGGCAAAGAAAGTGCTCCAGAGTTTCACTGTCCTCTCCACATGCTCTACATTCGTCTGAATCCTCACGTCCAATTTTGTATAGATGTGCTCGTAATCCTGTGTGTCCATTTAGAATACGTACCATCATACTAACCTCAGACTTGCTCATTTTGAGAAGATTTCTCGTCTTGCTCGCATCAGGGTCACCCCATAGGATCTTTGTGGTTCTACCCACCGTTTCATTATTCCAATTTTTAATTCAGCTTTTGTTGCGTCGAAAAGTTTTGCGTTCGTCAGTTTAACTACCTCCAGCTCCCTTCCCTTTAAAGGTATAACATTCGCCCTTTCCTTGCCGACTACTCCCTAGTGTCCTGGTACCCATATAATGTAAACCTTACCTCTAGGTAATTCTAATTCTTAATTCTATCATCTGATATCGCCCTAATTGCCTTCTGGCTGTCGGTAAATATATTAAGCCTTTGGGCGCCATATTTATTTTAATCCAATTTACACATTCTGTTATTGCTCGGACTTCTGCCTGTTTCTGTTTCTGGTTCAGACACATATTCTGTGTCTGTTGATTGTGTATAACCTTCAAATGTGTCCAGTATACATTGATGACGTGTCCTATGACGCTTTTGGCCAGTTGAATTAGTACACATGGCACTACTTATACCCAAGCAGCATGTACGCTGAACTCCCTGTAGTAGTTTGATATTACACTTTTTACCCAAAGCATATTTATTGAAGCATAAGCTAAAATTGGTCTAATTACACTTTTATAAAGCCAATTTGCCCCTTTAACTATATCAAATGTAATAACTATTTTCTCTAAAAATGCAAACATTTTAAAAAGAAATTCTTTGACGCTGCGTTTTCTCAAACTCCGGTTATAGTAAATAACCAGACATAGAGAAAATTAAATTTATTAGACTATTCATTTGATTTTTGTCAAAAACTCAGCTTTTTTGTACTTTTACTAAATGCATTCAAATTTATTATTGTTAAATATATTAAACAAAAAACAATTATTAAAAATAAATTTACAATTATTTGCTAATAAAAACGCTTAAAAAGTTTCATAAATATAGGAATTAGCTTTAAAGTTGCAGTTGAAATGTTTAAACTATTAAAATTTAAACAAGGATTTCTATATTTCAATTGATTTAAATAAGCAACATTGTTGTATTGTCCCTCTAAACACAAAGAATTTGTATTATAAATTATGCCATTACCACTCCATTGTGATAAATGACGTTTTAATTGATTTAAATCCGAAGAATTTCCATGATTTAGCAAAAATTGTTTAGACAATGAAGATGTAATAAATTTGCCATTAGTTATGGGATTCTGCAATTTAGATTTCGATTCAGCTACTGAAGAATTGCTAAATAGTATTATAAAAAAAGTATAAATTATTTAAAACCCATTTAAATTTATTTACTTAATAACAATTATAAATTGCAAAGATGTTTTTTTGTTAATCTAGTTAAAGCACTTAAATTTTAATGTTTATAAATGCTAATATGTAAATGCAAAAGTATGAAATATGAAGAAATATTAAATAAATGAAATACTATTTATTTAGTTAGTACAGTTAGTTTATGTAAAAGAGTGATTGCTTTAATTATATAATTGTTAGTAGTATGCATGTTTTAGTTTTAGTTTTAGTTTGAGTATGAGTTTTATTTTCTTTTGTTTTGGTTTTTTCAAATATTGCTAAAACCATAACTATCTTGCGTGTCAACTGTCAACATTTACTCAGACATTTAATTTTATTTATTTCTAAATCTTTTCTATTTGTTTAGCAAACTAAACAACATTTTAAAATAATTTCTTTCAAAACAACACCAACCAGCCATCATATGCAGATATTATGATAAAAATGATAAACATTTTTATTTTCTATTTACTTTTTTGCACTAAACTTTAGGCCTCTGATTTTAAAACTCCACTTTTGACACAAAACACTTAACTTTAATAAATTTTATTTGAAATGTTGTAATAATTTGTAATTGTGGTGGCTGTTAACAAAATGACTCTAATTTTTATTATTATTATGTAGCTTAACTGAAACATGATTATTGTAATAAAAAAATGTTTGTTTTAAAATTTGTATTTAACTTAACATAATTTGTTTATTTATAGATCATTTTACTTATGATGAACCAACAGAATGGTATAATGAATTTCCACAGTGTGGAGGTCATAAGCAATCACCAATTGCTATAACAACGCACAAGGTAAACTTGAAAAAAAATTATATTTAAGTAATACTTATTAACATTAAAAGTACTTTTTATGCAAAATTTTGTTTTTTATACATTTTATTTTGAAATTTTTTTTAATTTTTTTTGTGTGCTAATGGACTGTGTAATTGAAAATTTTGTGTTTAGTGTGGAGTATTTAATATAAATTTTGAGTTTTCCAGATATTTATTTTATCTAGTTTGGAAAATTTATTTCTTGTCAGGAAATAAAACAAATGCAAATTACTATAGACTATTTTATAAATAGTCCAGATTATTCTATAGTTCTGGCAATAGACTTGTCTAGGTTTAAATGTCTAGGTTTAAATGTTATTCTCTAGTCGAAACTATAGCCTTATAGACTTACATATATCCCATTTTATAGACTATTCTATAGTGTGTGGCCAAAACTGTATACTATTCTATAGCATACTATAAATGATAATGCTAAGAGCTGTATTTTTTCACATCATAGCCGTTAAATTTAAATAAGTTAAATCCACATACAAGTCTGAAAGTATTGAGTAACTACTTTTTAGTATTGAGTACCCAAAGAATAGGGCAAATACTCGATACTAGATACCCACTACTCAATACTTTAACAGCACTACTGTCAAGAGACAATAGAAAACTCTATAGATTGGACTGTCGATATGTTTATACTCTGGCCTATCGAACTATAGAACAGTCTATAGTCTAAACTATAGAACAATCTATAGTCTAGACTATAGAACAGTCTATAGTCTGGAATATAGAACAGTCTATAGTCTGGACTATAGAACAGTCTATAGTCTGGACTATAGAACAGTCTATAGTCTGGACTATAGAACAGTCTATAGTCTGGACTATAGAACAGTCTATAGTCTGGACTATAGAACTGTCTGTAGTCTGGACTATAGAACAGTCTATAGTCTAGACTAAAGAACAGTCTATAGCCTGGACTAAAGAACAGTCTATAGCCTGGACTAATCTGGACTATAGAACAGTCTATAGTCTGGACTATAGAACAGTCTATAGTCTGGACTAAAGAGCAGTCTATAGCCTGGACTAAAGAACAGTCTATAGTCTGGACTATAGAACAGTCTATAGTCTGGACTATAGTACAGTCTATAGTCTGGACTATAGAACAGTCTATAGTCTGGACTATAGTACAGTCTATAGTCTGGACTATAGAACAGTCTATAGTCTGGACTAAAGAACAGTCTATAGCCTGGACTAAAGAGCAGTCTATAGCCTGGACTAAAGAACAGTCTATAGTCTATAGTCTGGGCTATAGAGCAGTCTATAGTCTGGACTATAGTACAGTCTATAGTCTGGACTATAGAACAGTCTATAGTCTGGACTAAAGAACAGTCTATAGCCTGGACTAAAGAGCAGTCTATAGCCTGGACTAAAGAACAGTCTATAGTCTGGACTATAGAACAGTCTATAGTCTGGACTATAGTACAGTCTATAGTCTGGACTATAGAACAGTCTATAGTCTGAACTATAGAACAGTCTATAGTCTGAACTATAGAACAGTCTATAGTCTGGACAATTGCTGTAGTGCTGGATTTAAACCTAATTACTTACTAATTACTACAACGTTTGTTGAAGAATTCAAATTTAAAATTTTTTTATTCATTATTAAATTTTTCAAAAATTTCCGTTTTCCCCCAAAAAACAGACTATCGATGTTATAGCGCCACCAATATTATTTGGTTTATATGACGCCCCCATGTCACAACCCTTAAACATACGCAACAATGGTCACACAGGTATTTATTACAATTTTTATACTTAAAGTAAAACTCAATTTTCTTGCCAATCAAAACCCAAACCACTAATTCATTCATTATTGTTTCCATTCATAAAAAAGTTGAATTTAAAGTACCACCAACAGTATTGGGTGACAAACCCTTTATAACTGGAGGCATATTAGATGACATCTACGAAGTGGAACAGGTACATTTTCATTGGGGTTCAACACTACGCAAAGGATCGGAGCATGTTTTGAATGGTCATCAATACGATATAGAAATGCATATAGTGCACAAAAATAAAAAATATGATAACATGAAGACGGCCATTCATTTTGAGGATGGAGTGGCAGTAGTGGGAGTTTTATTTAAGGTGGTAAAGGTGAGTAATGAAAAATATTTGTTTTTTAGTTTGTGTTGTGCTATTAACATAATTTTTTATTCAGACCGATCAAGTTTATTATCCCGGCTTAAATGTGGTTTATGGTATTTTGCCTAATGTGCAGCAATTTAATTCTTCCTCCTCGGCTGATGAATTAATAAGTTTGGGTTCTTTATTGGGCAATATAAATCGTGAAGATTTCTACACCTATCAGGGTTCATTAACTACACCACCCTGTGCTGAAGCAGTGACCTGGATAATATTCTCCGATATTTTACCTATATCTTATAGAGAAGTAAGTATTTTTAGGGTTTTTTGTGTAAAAATTTTCATATTTTTAATATTTCTGTTTTAGTTACCCAAATTCTGGAATGTTTTAGATGAGCAGGGTAAAAACTTTGTTAATGTTAGACCCATACAAAATAATGGTTTTCGCAAAATCTATCATCGTAAGCCTTTATTTAGATTTAAATATTTTGGCTGGCAAAAGTAGTTAGTTTTTAACTAACGAATTTATATTTATATTAAGTTATTAATACAACGATTTATTTTTTTATAAGGTTTTTTTTATATGTTTTTCTATATAAAAGTATTAAGTACGATTATGTTAGTATATTTAGCCAAATATTTTATATTTTACACTTTTTAAATAATTTAAATAAAAGTATTTTTTTATGTTAATTTTTGTGGAGTTATTATAGGCTTTTTATAGTTTAGTTTTTTAAGCATCATTAATTTTTTTTTCATTTTAGCTTAAAGCTAAATTGGTCCAAGTTCAGTTTTGTTTTTGTTTCACTGTTTTTTTGCTCTCCAGCGGTTAGAGGTTTGTTTATTAGTTATGTAAATTTGTAAAAGAGAGAACAAGTAAGTAATGAGTATTAATTTGATTTATAGCTCAATTAAAATGTCTTTTTTATTAGGTGATTATGACAGTAATTTTTTAAGTTCAAACTCAAAAGGGTTTTCCAATAAGAGTGGCTAGAAGTTGGTAACATTTTCCTACATATAAGAGGCTTATAGCACGCAGATGTCTTTTTTATTAATCCTATTTTTGAAATTAATGGTCCGAAATAACAAAATTATCAAATGGATGTTTTATAGAATAAAACAAGATTTGGATTTATGACTTCTAAAAAACTTTTCAACAAACACACGGCCAGACGGACAACTTTTCACGGAGATGTACCAAATATTAAGGATTTTTCTTCGTTCATTTACAAAAACAATGATTTCGAACTTGTTTATTATTGAAATTTAACCAACACACCTTATTCCATTTTAACATTAACCCGCTCTTAGTGGAAAACCCTTTACATTATCAAATGCATGTAAGTGAGGTGTTGTTAATATTACTTAACATAAAAATTTATAACACTTGTTATTTATTTATTATTGTAAATAACAAATTATGCATCAACAAAATTTGTTTAACACAGCGAAGAGTGTTAATTGAAATCTTCATTAAAATAAGAATTAATTAAATTTGATTTATGAAATTTTCCCCAAAAACTTCAAAAATCCCAAGTTTGTTTCCTAAGTCTTTTGTTTTTTCCAACTCTACAGGTTTCAAATACTTTCTATTGTTGTTGTGGTTTATTTAAAGAACAACAATTTATAAATTTAGATTAAAATCTTAATAAAAACCCATATAAATTATAGTCAAAAACTCTCCTAATAATATAAATAATACTAATTACTACTTAGGGGTTTTTTTCTCCTCAAATATTAGACAAATTAAACAAAATTTAATAAAATGTTTTGAAATAGGTTTTGTATAATATAAACAAATTGAATATTAATTATCTAAAATGGTTTATTTAAAAAAATCGAGAATATAATAATACAAAAACACCCCCATTTTTATATAACAAAAATAACAAATACCCAAACGTCTAGCTTAATTAATTTAAGCAAACTTTTTTTAAATTCTTTCTTTTTTGTTATTATTTAAACTTTATAAATCATTGATAATAACATGTCTAGCAAATATTTTATGAACTTTGTTCAAATGACGCAATAATGAATAGACAAAATTTTTAAACATAAATCTGCTTAATGAATCTTAAATTATTTAACAAATAAATAAAAAAAAACAAATTCATGGTTTTTAATGATGCTCTAAAGATGAAAAAGTGTCTGAAAGTGATAAAATTTTGATAAATGTTTTAAGAAATTAACTAAAGTTAGTTTAGAAGTTCTTGGAAAGTTTTAAGATAATGAGCACAGTGTTAATATTTAATATCATTGCGTTGTATCCAATAATTTTAAAGTTGTTAGATGAGTTTAAAATAAATAAAATCAAAGTAACAAGTTTGTTTCTTAAATCTTTTGTTTCAATAACAATCCTATACAATAATTTAAAAAGAAAAAAATGCTTAAAATTAAATATTTATTTAAGTTAAACAAATTAAAATGCCAACAATTGTTAAATGTTTGTTTTAATTTGCAACTCTTATCATTTAATATGAATAAAATTGTAAACCTTAGCTGGTTTATATTAGCATTCATTTAAATCAAATTGTATTGTCTGACAATCAGTCATTGTTGGCGTCTATAAATTTAACACAAACTAAGGCATTTTTTGTAGGTTTTATCTTTTGTTTAGGGCCACTTAAGCTATAAATATGTTCGATTTTAAATAAACCACAAACATTATTTATTTATAATGATGGTAAAAAAAAATGTTGCAAGAGATGATATACAATATAAAATAAATGTTGCAATAAAACCTTAAACAGAAAAAAATCTAAAACAAAAGAGTTGGGTGTCAAAAAATGATTGAAAAAAGCCCCAAATTAGTAGTTATTTTATTATAAATGTATTTGCATTTAACAATACTAACCAGTAACTCGAGTTCCAGTTGATTTCTTACAACCTCAAGTGTCAATCAAGTGTAAAACACTTAAATTTTTGATGATTTATTTATGGAGTATGGAAAAAATCAATTTTTATATGCAAAGAAAAAATTTATATATTTTTAAAACATTATAATATAATTATCCTTATTAACTTAAACGAACTTAAGTCTTCTGAAACTAATTGCATTGAAAATCCTTAAAAATTCAGGTCGTCAGTATTTACGATGTATGTATAAAGTACTTTTTCTATATTATCATCATTTGCTAAAATTTTCATAGAGTGGTGTATAGAATAGTCTATAAACTAGTCCATAGTCTAGTCAATAGCTTAATACTTAGACTATTCCATACTGTTAATAGATAAGGCCATAGACTAGTCTAGTTAATAGATTATGTAATAGGTTAATCAATAGACTATTCCATAGGCTAGTCCCTAGACTAGTAGTAGATTATTCCAAAAACCTGTCAAGAAATCAGTTCATAGACTAGTCCATAGAGTGCTAGTTAGTAGAGTAGACCATAGGTTAGTCAATACGCTAGTTAATTGACTAGTTACTAAACCTTACCTCTTGACTAGTATATGGACCACTTTACTGACTAGTCTATTAATATATTAACTTGCATCAGAATTACAGCTAGACGATAAAGTATAGACTAGTCTATAGAGTAACCCATAAACTAATTACAGACTAGTGTACAAAATAGGCCATAGATTAGTCCATAGAATAGCCTATACACTAGTCCATAGAATAGCCTATAGACTAGTCTATAGAATAGCCTATAGACTAGCTATAGAACAGCCTATAGACTAGTCTATAGAATAGCCTATAGAATAGTCTACAGAATAGCCTATAGACTCGTCTACAGAATAGTCTATATAACAGCCTATAGACTAGTCTATAGACTAGTCTATAGAATAGCCTATAGACTAGTCTACAGAATAGCCTTTATACTAGTCTATAGAATAGCCTATAGAATAGTCTACAGAATAGCCTATAGACTCGTCTACAGAATAGCCTATAGACTAGTCTATAGAATAGCCTATAGACTCGTCTACAGAGTAGCCTATAGACTAGTCTATAGAATAGCCTATAGACTAGTCTATAGAATAGCCTATAGACTAGTCTACAGAATAGCCTTTAGACTAGTTTACAGAATAGCCTATAGACAAGTCTACAGAATAGCCTATATACTAGTCTTCAGAATAGCCTTTAGACTAGTCTATAGAACAGCCTATTGACTAGTCTATAGAATAGCCTACAGACTAGTCTACAGAATAGCCTATAGACTAGTCTATAGAATAGCCTATAGACTAGTCTATAGAATAGTCCATAGACTAGTCTATAGAGTAGTTCATAGACTAGACTATAGAGTAGTTCATAGACTAGTCTATAAAGTAGTCCATAGACTAGTTTATAGAGTAGTCCGTAGACTAGTTTATATAGTAGTCCATTGACTAGTTTATAGAGTAGTCTATAGACTAGTCTATAGAGTAGTTCATAGACTAGTCTATTGAATATACCATAAACTAGTCTACATAGTATTACATAGACTAGCAGTCCATAGACTAGTTTATAGTTCATCGACTAGCTGTAATCCATAGACTATTCAGTAAAGAATTCCATAAAATAATCAAGAGATAAGGCCATGGACTAGTCAGTAGAGTATTCCATAGACTAGGTAATAGACTAGTCCACAGACCAGTTCGTAGATTAGTCAACAGTCCATTAATTTATACAGTAGGCCATAGAAAATAATTTAGTTATTGCATAGACTAGCCCATAAATCAGTTCATAGAAGTCTCCTAAGTTTAGTCAATAGCTTACTCTCTGTAGTCAATACCTGCTGAGAGCAATGTTTTCAAAATTCGAATTTTACAACGATATTGAAAAATCCTAAAAAAGCACCGATAAAATAATTTAGATTGGTTCCAATTTTGATAAAATCTGATATGAAATTAAAGATTTGAATGATAGAGAAACTATTAATGTAAATAATACTAATTAGGCAAAAATTATAAATTAAAGCATCAACAAATAATAAGTTACAAATTGTTCTTAATCAATTGGTTTTAAATTCAACAGATCATTCCGATAGACAAAAATAATTTCTTTTCATAATGGAACCAAATTTGTTAAAGTTCAATCGTGAACTTAATCAAGAATATTCCTCTAATCTTGATTAATGTATAAAAAACAACCCTCGTATTACCAATTAACATATGTATATACAATTATAGACAAAATAACAATACAAATAGCGATAACAAATTTGAATACAAATACCTACTTGAATATTATTGAGTGTGTGTTCAAAGTTCTCATCAGCCAATAATTATGCCACTTGAAATAAAGCAAAATAAAACAAAACAAAAGTGTGTACAAAATGTTTTCAAATACTAGTGTTTAACTTATTAATAAATAAAATAAGTTTACTTACACACACACACTTTGTTTATAGATGATAATAAAGTCAATAATAAACAATATTGCATATTTTTTGGGATTTAGTTTATCTATATAATTTATATAGTATTTGTTTATTTATTTACTTTGACAAATATTAACTAAAATTTGTTTCATTGTTATTTAATTATAAACTAAAATATGTATGTATTTACGGTCTTTTTTTATACAATAAAATAAATGGTCGTCCTTAATTCGTTTCTTTGTATTTAGTTGTTTCTTTGCTTTTACTTAATAAATATTTAATATATTTCTTTAATTTATGTTTTAATTTTAGGTACTTATTCGTTCTTTTTTGTAACAAAAATATTTAGTTGTAAAAGTGTTGTTTTACTTACAACTTAAATATAGTTTTAAAAATACAATTGTTTTGTTGGTTTTTATTTAAAATAAAATTTTAGTTAAAAAACAAGTTTGATAGTTTTTTTGAGAGGGAGTTTGTAGATATGCCTTAAAATCTTTAGGGTGTTTAAAAGTAAAGTTTTAGATTAATATTTAAGCACCAATATATTTGTTATTTTGTTTGTTGTAGTTTTTTAAGGCATTCTAAGAAATTAAATTGTGCTGTTGTTTTTTCTTCTAGATAGTGATGGTATATTAAAAAAAACAAATCACAGTTTATGCGTTTAAGTTATAAGCTTATCAAGGTTAGAAGGATTTTTAAAAGTTGTTGTTTGGTTTGTTTGAATAAGTAAGTATTTGTTTTAAAATAATTTTAGGCAGATTTTTCTACAAATAATTTATAATTTTTGCCTGTGGAATAAAGAAAGAAAATAATAAGGTTTATGAAATGTTAGAAAAAGTTAGAGAAACTCATCAACATTCTAGGCAATGACAAGCACTACATTTAACATTTATTTTTTTGTATTTTTTTTTTGGTGTTCAAATTGAATTAAAATAATTTTTTGTAGGCCAATTAAGCTGTAAAAGAAACATGATTTTGGGATTTTCTTCTAGAAAAATGTTTATTTATTTATTAACTATAAAAAATGGTTTTTTAAAAATTTAGTTTTATAATGCATTTTATAATATAACAATTAATTACACTTTATTATGTACAAAAATAGCAAGAATAATAAGAGAAATAAAAAGGTTTTAAAATTAAAAAAACAAAAATAGTAAATTCTAATGACATGATGTGTTAAATTTTGCTTTAAAATAAAAGCATATCAAAGGAAACCTAGTTTAACAGCTCTTTGCATTTAAAATAAAGTCTACTTTTAGCTGTTTTTATTATAAGCAAAAAGCTAAAAGTAGACTTTAATGTTTTTTAAAACAGTCATGAGCATTAAACTGTATATTTTTTTGTAAAATTAAAATTTTATAAAATTTTTGGTTTTTAAACTTAATAATGATGCCGTAACAATGTGGTTTAGTAAGTCAGGTGGTGTTTGGTGTTGGTGGTAGTGTTAAAAAGTATAGTAGTGTGACATGTTGCTGTTCTATTAGTTTTGCATTTAGACAGTAACACACTATTATTATTAAGATTTTTTGTTTGTTATTTATTTAAGACTTTGCAAACATGTATGGCTTTTGTTTGTTTATGGTTTTTTTTTGTAAGGACTGGGTAACAACTTATTAGAGCTTTGGTGCCGGCAGTAATGATGATTGCCTAAAAACAAAACAATAACAAATGATGATTAAAATGTTATGCTGAAAATGATGTCAAATGTTATAAAATTAGCTACAGCTGCATGAGAGAAAGGTAAAGAGGAAAATGTTTAAATTAAAATTTACAATAAATAGATTTTGAATTATAACTGATTGTTTACAATTATGCCTAATTATTTTAACATTTTGCAAATTTTTGTTATTTACAATAGTTTTTTTTTTTTTTTTTTGTTGGTTTTTCTATAGAACACTTTCTTGTGCAAAATGCTTGAACAGTGGGTTGGTGCAGTTTTACAATTTCTTGTAGGTTTTTATGTTTTACTTAGAAAATGTATTTGAAATTTTTTGTTTTTTTAATGACATTTGTGTAGTGTTTGCTTTAAAACTAATTGTTTTCACTGTGAATCCTGTAAGATTGATGTTTAAACATTAATTAAATTATATTTAATTAGTTACAATTTAAACAGAAAATGTATAATTACAATTACAAAATAAATTATTACGAGGTCTGGTCACAGTTTGGAGCAAACATAACGAGCTTCTTAACACTCGTAAGTAATTATTATACTAAACTGAATAAATCCAAGTTTATTTTTCCTAAAAATAACATTCTATATTCTAATGTTCTGAAGGAAAGTTCAAAAAATTACACAAATCAAGATCAATGAACTTAGCAGCTTTTCATAATTCCAATATTTTTTATGTATATCCTTCAACAAAATGGCAAAATTTTTCAGTTTCATCAAATACATCATTTTTAACAGAAATTTAAATTCAATTTTTCACTAAAACTTGCATTTTCCCCTTAAAAAATTTATTTTTTTAAATAAAAATTGCATTTTTCTCTAAGAATTGCACTTTTTGCTAAAAACGCATTATGCAAAAATTCTTTAATTTTCATCATTGGCAAGTTCAATACAGCACTACCCTAATATTTCTAAAACTAGTCGTTTAATAAAAAATAAATAGCAGAATTTAAAGAAAAAACTATAGCTAGTTAGACAAATTAAGAATTTAATAAAAGTAAAATTAGTTATAGTTAATAAAAATATGCTGCTAATATATTTTAAATTCTAGAAAGCAAATTGGCAAAAGTTAAATTAAAAAAGCTGCTTTTAAAAAAACAACGCATTTGCACCAAAATGTGAACACTCCTTAAAATATTTTGCAATTTTAAGAAATCAAAAAAAAAAAAATACACAGTTAAACATAATAAAAATAAGACAGAAAGAAGAAACTTTACACACAGATTGAAGAACAACTTACATATGCTCGGGATGAATGCGTATGCATTCAATTAAGTCTTGGGGCTTAAGGGCACCAGTGCAGATTTTATTAACGGCGGTAAATAAGGGGAACCTAGAAAAAGAAATAAAATGAAAAAATAATTAAATTTATTTAGAAGATTGATTATAAAGAAATTAGTTTTATCATACTTTTCTTCCAAGTTTTTGTTTTTCAACATGTAGCTAACTTCTTCGGCAGTAAGGGGACCCTGTAATTTTTGTCCATTCAACATTTCAGTTTCCAATTGTTGAATGGTTTTGCCAGATTTAACAAAAGCTTCGCCGACTTTACGGTTGCGGCCACCATAGCAGGTGGTAATTAAATCAGCTACACCACAGCTTTCAAAGAAGGTGGACAATTTGCTGCCGGGATACATGATTTCCACAAAGCGAATCATTTCCATTAAACCCAAACGGATAACAGCGGCCTTGGTGTTGTCACCCAAACCCAAGCCATCAACGAAACCAGCACCCATGGCTACCACATTCTAAAAAGTGAAAACAGTTTTAGTATTTTTTACATTATTGAAAGTTTTTCGCGAATACCTTTAAAGCACCACAGATTTCTACAGCATCTGAGTCCTCAACCACTACCACACGGAAGTGATTGGCTTGGAAGAGATCACGTAAGATTTTGGCATATTTGGCATCGCGACAACCGATTGTGGTTTCACAAAATTGTCCCTCAGCCACTTCATTGGCCAAATTGGCACCCATAAGTACAGAGCAGGGGATTTTAAGATGGCGGGTAATAATGTGTGAGATCAAGTCAATGCCACCACCTTCGGCCTTATCGAAGCCCTTGATTAGGGAAATAGCCACAGCATTGGGCTTAATTTTACCCAAAAGTTGTTTACAGAAATTGGGAATGAATTGATGGGGTACAACGAAAATTAAGACATCAGCATCTTTGGCAGCCTCTACCAAATCGGGTACAGCAACCTAAAAATAACATCAAAATAACGAAAATATGAATTATTTATTTTTAAATTTATTTTGGGTTTAGGTTTTTAATTAGTGATAAGCAATCTCTAGACGCAATTCAAAAAGTATTATTGATATTTTTGGCATTGGCCTTTAACTAATTTAATAGATAAAGCTAAATAATATTTTATTATTTTTGGTGTTGCTATGTTTAAATTAAACTAAATATAGAATCTTCTATTGTATGGCTTCTTGGTAAAGAATTTGGAATTTGTTTTAAGTTCTAAAATAAACATTAAAGGGCGTTAAAGTTAATGAATGTTATCAAAGTTTTTGTTAAATCAAATAAATAACCCCAGAAGTTGAGTTGTTTTTTCTAACAATTTGTTTACAAATATTTTAAAAAGAATTCACAAAATAAACAATTGAAGTTTTTAAACAAATATTAAGTAATATGTAATACAAAAACAAGTATGCTTTCAATTTCAATAAAATCAAAACAAACAGGTTATCTTTGGATGTGTTATATTTTAAATGTCATATTAATAAATTTAATAAAAAACACCTATTAAATAACATATTAAAGTGTGTCTTAGTCCATTTTTTTGGCACAAAAACTTGTCACTTGTATTGCAAGCATATCTTAATAAATTTGAATAATTTAATGGTTTTGTTTTCATTCAAAACAAAAGTGTTAAGTTAAAAATAAACAAAAGTTTTTTTCTTTCAAACCCTTTAAATCTTCCATTAAATATAGAAACAAATGTGTTTTGTTTGTTTTGTATTTTTGTTGATAACAAATAAATAACGTCAAATAATAAGAATAATAATAAAAATAAACACTTCCACATACATATATTTACATACATACATTAATAGGGAAAAAGCAACCACATTTCTATACAAAATTGGTTTTGGAAATAATAAAATTATAAATTATTTTGAACAAACAAGTAAAAGTGTCTAGAGTTTAGCATTAAATAGAGAAATATGCTCTCATTGTTCTCGGTTTAAAATACAAAGCTAATCTTAAGCAAAGTAGTTTTATGATTTTAAGTTTGTAATGGGGTTTCAAATTTAAAATTAGCATGACGTTTTATACCCTTCACCTTTTTGGTTATAAATCAAGCAACCACTTAGGGCCTACGCTAACTTAAGAAGAGTTAAACCATATTTTTATTCAAATAGAAAAAACCATATGGTAGACACAATCAAATTAAAAATTTACTTCCGGAAATGTTTCATTATATAAAAAAGAAATCGAAAATAAAAGTTTTAATCAGGAGTGGAAACTTTAGTGTATTTTTATATTATAAACTATTAGCCCAGGAAAATAAGGGTTTTGCTGTGGAATTTTAGATAGCTTAAAGAAAATGGGCGCATAGCTTCTCCTTAGCATAATTAGTAGGGGATTAAAAGTCACCGAAAATATAGTTTACGCTAAAGGAGATATTGGAGGTCAAAGGTTGATTATTACATCTATAACCCCTTTATTCATGGTCTAATCACGAATAGTCATGGAAAATACAGTACTTTAGCACCATATTCAGTACTTTTTTATATCGAAAAAAAAAAAAAAAAACGCGGTACCCCCATGACATTATTGGTACTTTTTAAAACTTATAAACTTTTTATAATTAGTTCTCATAGTAGTCGATAGACCAGTATATTGTCTCGTCTATAGTCTAGTCTGTACTCTACTCAATAGTCTATTCTATAGTGCAATCTATAGTGTAGTCTATAGTCTAGTCTATAGTGTAGTCTATAGTCTAGTCTATAGTCTAGTCTATAGTCTAGTCTATAGTCTAGTCTATAGTCTAGTCTACAGTCTAGTCTATAGTCTAGTCTATAGTCTAGTCTATAGTCTAGTCTATAGTCTAGTCTATAGTCTAGTCTATAGTCTAGTCTATAGTCTAGTCTATAGTCTAGTCTATAGTCTAGTCTATAGTCTAGTCTAGTCTAGTCTATAGTCTAGTCTATAGTCTAGTCTAGTCTAGTCTATAGTCTAGTCTAGTCTATAGTCTAGTCTAGTCTATAGTCTAGTCTAGTCTATAGTCTAGTCTAGTCTAGTCTATAGTCTAGTCTAGTCTATAGTCTAGTCTAGTCTATAGTCTAGTCTATAGTCTAGTCTATAGTCTAGTCTATAGTCTAGTCTATAGTCTAGTCTATAGTCTAGTCTATAGTCTAGTCTATAGTCTAGTCTATAGTCTAGTCTATAGTCTAGTCTATAGTCTAGTCTATAGTCTAGTCTATAGTCTAGTCTATAGTCTAGTCTATAGTCTAGTCTAGTCTATAGTCTAGTCTATAGTCTAGTCTATAGTCTAGTCTATAGTCTAGTCTATAGTCTAGTCTATAGTCTAATCTATAGTCTGGTCTATAGTCTAGTCTATAGTCTAGTCTATAGTCCAGTCTATAGTCTATTACTAACTAACTAGTAACTAACTAATTAACTAACTAACTTACTTAAAATATACAAAATATTATATTTTCAATTGCAATTTCTTTCAACTTGTTAGATTTGTGGATTTGCTTTTTTGATCTCCAGTAAATAAAAATATCATTTTAGATTTACGTGAAATAGAAGGTTATCAGATTAATTGAATAGGTGTTTAGTATATAAACAATTTGTACAATATTTTGAATGCGCACATGTCATACTTATAATCATGTCATTTTGAATTTATTTCTATTTTTGTAAAAAAAATATTAAAAATTTTTGCAACACACATATGAAAATTTATAAACAAATAAGCCAATTTTTATATGCAGTCATTTTTTTCTTGATTCCATGCCAAAAAATAGAAATGTAAACAGTATAAAAAAAACAGACAGCCTTTGTCAAGATATATATCTAACACGCATGCAAATAACGAGATTTTTAATTAAGAAAGTTCATTGCATTTTAAGAAATTTCTTTTTTAAGTGAGACACATATTAATTCTTTAAATAATAAAAAACAAATTGAAAAATCTTAGATTAATTCTCTTCTTTATTTTATTATTACTAATTAAATGACATCAGCTTTATATAAAAAATATACCTATGCAATTAATTACATACGAATTGCTTCACCTTGTAGGCTTAAATACTGTTATTTATAAACAATAAAATTGTTTGGTTATGCCTCTCATATTAATAAATAACCAGTAATTCTTAAATTATTATTTTGAAGAGCTTTTTTTATATTTTTAATGTTTAATGAACCTTAAAAACGTTTTTTTATGCTGCGTTGATCAAATTTAATACATACAATTTATGCATACACTTTGCATTTAAGTATTTAACAATTTACATGCATAAATAGTTTTTCATAGCAAGTTTCGTATTTATTTTGTTTGGTGTTTTGGAGACAAAGTTCATTAAACTTTTTTTTGCTTTTTTTTGTTTTTGTTAAAAAGAAATACAAAATAAATCAAGTAAAAGTGCCAAGTTATAAATCAAAACAAAAGTAAACAATAATTTACAAATTGTCTACCATGAAATTAAAATTGTGACGACAAGCGACAATACTAGATACATAATCACTAGTAGTTAATATTGAAATGTCAAATCTTTATCAGAAATTTGAAACCCTTGTCTGCAATTGAATATTAAAATAAATTCCCAAAAATTATCAGAAAAAATGTTTAAATTATTTTAATGTTTTCACTTGCCTTATACCAAATTTATATAAATCCACTTAAGAAGTTTCAAATATCATATACACACATATCAGTGTGTTTTTAAGTGCATTTTGTTGCCAGCCGCTTGTGGTTTTGATTCTATTTCCTTTCATAAAATAAATGTAGATAATTTTTTGGTTTTTGATAAGCATCAAAAAACATACGATTGTTATGACTGATGTGTATTTTTATTTTTATCGGTATTTTTTTTTTTTTTTTTCAAAATACAACATGTTTGATGGCCATTAATGAAAATTTTTTCCTTTTTTTAAAGTACTTGAAATTTTTAAAGTTTAAATGATAAGATTCTGAAAATTTGCTAACATTAACTTTGTTGCCTTTTTATAGTAAAGAAATATGTATATAATTTAATTGATTACAATATAATTGTGGTTAATTATTGTACAATTGGAATTAGTATTATAAAATATAAACTTTTAGAACTACACCGGCATAAAATTATAGAATGAACGGAAATAAATGATATTTGAATTACTGTATTTCGATTTCAATGTTTTAAATATGTATACTCAAATCTTTCAAGAAATTCAAATTATGCAGCTAGTCATACATTCGAGACTTTGAGAGATATATGTATGTATAGTGATCAATCGGTTATGAAATATACATATCTGCCTATTTATCTATCTATCTATCTATCTATCTATCTATCTATCTATCTATCTATCTATCTATCTATCTATCTATCTATCTATCTATATCTATCTATCTATCTATCTATCTATCTATCTATCTATCTATCTATCTATCTATCTATCTATCTATCTATCTATCTATCTATCTATCTATCTATCTATCTATCTATCTATTTATCTATCTATCTATCTATCTATCTATCTATCTATCTATCTATCTATCTATCTATCTATCTATCTATCTATCTATCTATCTATCTATCTATCTATCTATCTATCTATCTATCTATCTATCTATCTATTATCTATCTATCTATCTATCTATCTATCTATCTATCTATCTATCTATCTATCTATCTATCTATCTATCTATCTATCTATCTATCTATCTATCTATCTATCTATCTATCTATCTATTTATTCTATCTATCTATCTATCTATCTATCTATCTATCTATCTATATCTATCTATCTATCTATCTATCTATCTATCTATCTATCTATCTATCTATCTATCTATCTATCTATCTATCTATCTATCTATATCTATTTATCTATCTATCTATCTATTTATCTATCTATATCTATCTATCTATCTATCTATCTATCTATCTATCTATCTATCTATCTATCTATCTATCTATCTATCTATCTGTCTATCTATCTATCTATCTATCTATCTATCTATCTATCTATCTATCTATCTATCTATCTATCTATCTATCTATCTATCTATCTATCTATCTATCTATCTATCTATCTATCTATCTATCTACCTATCTATCTATCTATCTATCTATCTATCTATCTATCTATCTATCTATCTATCTATCTATCTATCTATCTATCTATCTATCTATCTATCTATCTATCTATCTATCTATCTATCTATCTATCTATCTATCTTCTATCTATATAGTTTCAATTTTTAACTGTTACGGTTCAGTGACATAGATATAAAAAACTATTTCAAATTATATCAAGAAACTTAAAAATTTTAAATATCTAAAAAGTATGTAAATTGAAAAACATAAATATTTGCAAAAAAATTAAGAAAAAATTAACATAATGTTAACAGTGCCAAATGACAATTTTCAAAATATTTTAGCCAAACAAAGTCAAGAAACCCTGGCAACAATAAAGACAAACTTTGTTATAAATATGTTTGGCCTTGACCTACAGTTCTTACCAATGGCATTAATGCATGAGAAAAAAAACTACACTTTCATTTGAAAACAATGAAAAAGAAAAAGAAGAGAAAAACATCTCCCTCATATAGTTAAGAGAGAAAATTGCATTAAAAATAATACACTTACAAACACATTTATATAGAAACAACAATATTCCTATGTAAAAAACAGTAATCAACCCACTGGGGTGGGGAAGGAAGGTATACGGAGATGGTCATTTAGAATTATTTTAAAACTTGTAAATATGTTTTTCAATATACCACGGAAAGCAATAAAACTTTTTTGCAACTTTATTATTATGCATATTGTTAAAAGTATTACATATTTAAATTATTGATTACAATTTAGAAACCTTTCAAAATTTCAAATTTCACATCTCTGCTAGTTTTTACATGACGTCAAGAGCAGCAGCATTTGATTGTTACATTAAAAAATTAAAAGAATGACATGACAGCCTTTCACACTCTTTGCCAATGTGCAACATTGAAAGAAGAAACATAACATAAAAGTGAAAAAATAACGAGAAAAACTTTCCACATTCATATTCTTTTTATTTTTTTTTTTTTCTATTTAAAAATAAACCATCGTAACAATGAAAAATTTCAATGTCAATGTTTTTTTAGATTAGGTAATACCAAAGACTTGTATGTTGTTTGTAGTCGAAACCGGGGTGCATAGTAAATGCATGTTCACTAGTATTTTACTTTCATTTACAAGAAAATTAAGTGAGAGGTGCATCAGCCACAAACATATGGTAACAAATTTTTACGTAAGATTTGAAATTGATTATTTAGAAGTGATTTCTATTTTAAATTAGAAATTTTTGTTTTTTAAGCTGTAATAGCAATTGTATGAAATTAGTTTGTATATAAGTTTTGATTTTTTTTTTATAAATAAATAAATGAGAATAAAGTGTAAAGAAAATCTAAAGCTAATGACATGTTAGAGATGCCAAATGGTTTTTAATTTTAAAATAATTTAATTTAGTGGAAATTAGCAATAATGAGAAAGAAAAACTTATTTAACTATAACAAAATTATTAATTTAAATCTGTTAAGAGTAACTTTCTATTTAATTATGTCTTTGGTTACAATTGGTTATTTTATCAGACAGCCATTCATTTACAGACAATAAATAAAAATTAATAAAATGTTCTTGTAAAATAGTTCTAAACATTTTTTATCTTAGGAAATTAGTTTTTGTATTAGTAAATGGAATTAGGTTAATTAAAAGTAGAAAATTATAAACTCCAAAGTACATATTTGTAAAGATTCACAATTCCAAATTAGAACGTGATTTGAATTTAAATTTCATTTAGCCATAAATTTATTCAGCAATGAACAATAGTCAAAAAAAGACGATAAAGCCTTGCTTAAACACGAATTTTAGAATAAAAGATCTATAGAACTCAAATAATTTAAAATTAATAAAAAAATTGCACGTGTCGTTAATAAAAATTAAAAGAAAAATTATTAAAAAAAATCAAGAATGAATTTAACATTTTTAAAATTTAGAAATTGTTTGACTTGAAAATTAGCACCATTGTTTCAGTTCAATTTAGAAGCAAAGTTTTTTAAATATTGTAAAGAAATTGAAATATAATTGAAATTTGGCAACTCTTGTGTTGCATGCACAAAACTAAAGAGATGATGTACTCGACAAATGGCATTTGTTGTTAATGCTCTTGAAATATTTTTACTTTCTTGTTTCTTTTTTGTTTTAATCTCTACATTTTACAAACAAATTATTCATTACATAAGAAATCTAAAACTAAAATATAAAATAAACTAATGCTGTAATAAGATAAAATACTAATAAAGATAAAACTTAATTTATTTGATAATAAAAAAAAATAATAAAAAGACCTTAACAAAAAAGCAAAAAATAAATTTCCATTTAATATTGTTATTTTTTTCTAGATATTCAAAGTTTAATTGTTTAATGGTCATGGTACAAATACTATCAGTTATCGCCTTATTAAACAATTAGTCATTTGACTAAATTCAATAATAATCAACTAACTGATAAGAACCAAAAAAGTTTTCCATGAGATATGAAAATCTGAACATTGAACTTACCACATTTGGTGGCAATTTGTGTCCGGGTAAATATTTAACATTCTCATGGGTGGTATTAATGATTTCTGTCAATTTCTTGCCATCGATCATTTCTTCATACACATACATGGTGACACGTTCCTCGAATTCGGGCAAATTAGCACAATTGGCACCCACAATTTTGGCTATAGCAGAACCCCTATACAAAAAACGAAATAGAAAATGCATTTAGTTTTTAATTTAAAACAATTTTTTTAAATTTATTATGTAAACAAAAATTATATAACTTCTATTAAATGCAAAAATATCAAAAATAATAGAAACAATTAAATACCATAATTAAAAAAACTATATAAACTTACCAGTTGCCGGAACCCACAATGCATACACTTGTCTTTTGAGCCATTTTTAGTTAATGTTTTTTGTTGTTTTATTTAATTATTATTACAGTAAAGTTTCTAAGTTTCTTTTTTCTATGAATGCAATTTTTTACGTTTTTGCACTAATGCGTTTTGTATTTTTTTCAATGTCTAGAGTTTAAAAAATAACACGTTAAACACGGCCGAAGTAGCAACTACGACTAAATTTTATATTTTTTGTTTAGTTAGTAAAATACTTAATTTTTTACTCTTGTCTGTTATCATACGAATTCAAAATAAAATTATTAAGAGAGTGTGAGTTAGCGTGAATGTGAGACTCAGAGTGATAGAGCATAAACAAGCAAAAAAATTAATAGAAGAGAGTAGGTAATAGAGATAAAAAAACAAATAGAGAGTTAATTATTTTTATTTTTAATTTTTGTTTTTCGTTTTAGCGTTTTTCGTTTATCTTGAAATTTATTTTTATTTGTTTTAATGTTTAGAAACCTACTGGCAGTATTTATTTTATAATCATTAAATAGGTCTAGATTTACAAAGAACTCCTTTAAATATTTTGAGTTATGTTAGGTTATTTTCTTACAAGGACAATTTTGACTATGAAAATCCGTTTGGGAGAAATTTTAGCTGGTCTGTTGACTGGACACAGAAAGTTGTTTGGTCTATTGTATAGAACGGAGCGAGATGAGTCGAACTTCACGTTCAAAAGCTATGATAAGTACATTGGATCGGTAAACGCCTATTTTGTATAAGGATACCGTTCCACAACGCAGTGAGTACCCAAGACCGCGAAGAAGCGGCTACCAATATTCTTCCAAGGTACAAATTCAACCTAGTGAGTTGAGCATAGATAGGCCTCTGTAAAGTTCTATACCTCAACATTCTTATTAGAAAGCACAAGACTTCTGATGCAGCAGCGATTCAGATTCCTTAGAGCTGTCATTTAGGCGACTCCTATAGTAATATATCTCGCATAAACTGGCAAATACAGTGGATGTTAGTCCAAAGAGCTTAAATTTCTGATTAATTTATAATATCCCTGCATCTTATTTATTTAAAAATACTTTTTAATTCTTTAAAAAATCTTGGTATTTTAAGTTCAATCAATAGCCATAGATTTATGTATATGGACATAACATGCCGGTTCTAAACGACTACGATTTCCATAACTCTTTAACCACGTATGGAATATTCAATTTAAAGCTTTTGTGAGCATTTTTGGTTTGATGTCTGTTAGTTTGGGTGTCTCTTCCTTTTGGATAATTCATATATCGTTCGAATGGGCTTTTAAACGATAATCAGACATTACCTCCGAATTAAATCATATCAATTTTGTGTCCTAAAAATTTATATTAGAATGTTTTAATTATTTTTCTTTCGATGACCTCAAAATTAAGGAATTTTTAGACCTATTTCCAAAAGATTACATATATTTTATATATCTAAAAAAAGTGATCCACGGTACATTCTAATGTATTTGTCGATATGAAGTAAAGTAAAGCAAATTATTTCCGAAAAATGTCAAAATATCAGTAGTGTCGTAAGGTATTTCCCCCAAAAATGCTTGGCAAAGATAGTGTTAAACATTTGTCGGTCTAGTTAAACCCTCTAAAATTTAACAAATTAGTACACAAATTGACAACACCTAATATTTGTTTACTTTTACTAAATAAATCTCACTAGGAGTGAGCACAAATCGTCTGTCTGTGTCACCCTTAAAAAAATTCCATCAAATGTGGGGGGGTAAAAGGGTTATTGTTAAGAAATTCCATTGAAATGCACTTTAAAATAAAGAAATAACAACGAAATAAGAAAATAAAATTCCAAGTAAATGAAAAATCTTATGATACTATGGAAAATTTATTAACACACAATTATGTATGTATGTATGTATACATTATAAATTAAATTTACTTATTTAATTTAAAATAACAAGTATTTGTACTTTTATATTTTTTGCAAACTATTACAGCATACTTTTTTATCTGAAACACATATTTTTTCTCAATTACAAAAAAATAGACAAGCAAATAATCTTGAACCAAATTATTTTGCAAAAGGTGTGAGTTTTTTAAAAATTGTATTTTTTAAATAAAACTTTTATTATTGTTAAAACACTTTAGCGTTCATAGTTTTTGGTTATCACAATATTTACTTATTAATTATTACCGATGTTTTTATATTTTTCTTATTATTTTTAGCTACAAATACCGCACTTCTTGCCAGAGACCTGTGCCGGTTCGGCTTAATGCCGACTAAGCCTAGCCGCCGAAAAAATTTCAAAGCCGCCGCCGAAAATTTTTCAGCTTTAGGCGGCTTGAAATTTTTTGTATAATTTGCTGAACACTTTCATTAAACGTTGTAAATGTTTTAATTTGTTTATTAATTGCCACTCATTTATAAATTATAATTTGTTCTTGTTTTATTTCGAAATAAAATGTCAACTTTTCAATGAAAACATTTAACATTGTTTATCCAAGACACAACAACTAGGTTTGACCAAATTGCATTATAATTAATCACGTTATCTACAAAGTGTAATTATAAATTTTTTAATTTAATTTGTTACCATTTAATAGAAAAAATATTCTTGTTATATAAAATTGGTAACAATTATGCCGTTATTTATATTAAAAAATATTTGTTTACAAAATGCTTGGTATTTTCAGATTTTTTAACATAAATAATTCGAAATACTAAAGAAGTTTTTCTCTGTTTTAACAGACATTTTAAATAAAGAGAGTAAACAATAACAAACTCAGTGCGTAGCAGTCAAGTGAAGAAAATATAATCAGCTGATTGAATAACACCACCTTATGTGAACTCTCCTTTCTAAAACGGTTGCTGTACAAAAAAATACATCAAATTGTATTACGGCGCCATCTAATGTCAAATGTTGTTACTTATCTACTTCCTTTATATGTTTCTTAATAAAAAAAAAAAGAAAGACAACAATAAAAGCTTTTTTATAAGTTTGTTTACAAACAACTGCAAAGAAAAGAGCGGGAATTAAATATTTGTTGTGTCAGTGAAAAGTAAAATTAAAAAGAAAATGTTTTTTATTACATTATAGTTGGAGGTCGGTTTTTCTATAACATTACGCTAATACAAACAGAAGAGAAAAGAACGTGCTTAAAACAAATGTAAGCGATCATTGAAATGAAAATTTAGTCAATCGATGGTTAATTTAAAGAGCCTTAATTTTCAGGCAATGGTATTGCGAAGAAATAAGTAAATGGATAATATCAGGTAAGAGCAGTATAACCAGCTGTGTCACACAATAAGAAATACCTGCCACGTCTATAAAAAGAAATAAGTATGCGAATTTGTTGACGCATTTAATATGTATTGTTTGTCAGTCAGTCAATTAGCTCAGAACTGACTTCTATAAAAAATGCTATAATAATAGAGGCAGTCACATTAAGGACACTTTTTTTTAAATAAGAGTGGAATGAAACTCATTCTAAATGCCTTCCTAAGCATTTCATTAAAACTTCCAAAATGGATTCCCAGATTAATAACACGGTGTGACGAAATTGTGCAGTTACCTAGAGCAGTTTATAAGTCTAGTAGAGTAATGACACTTAAAATCAGGCATGGAAAATTCAGTAATAAATCATGACATATTAGAAACCTTTTCCAAACTTTTGATTATAATAGGTTTGTCAATAGGCTAATGCATGTATTAATCAATAGACTATCCCATATACTAGTCAATAGGACAGTCTAGTCCATTGACTAACCAACAGACTAGTAAATAGACAAGTCAATAGTCAAACCAATAGACTAAACAATAAAACAGCCAATAAACTTCATAATAAACCAGTGAATAGACTGGTCAATAAAATGTTCTATTGGCTAGTTCATAGATTAGTCAATAGATAGACTAGTCTACAGTCTAGCCAATAGACTAGTCATTAGGCCAGTCCATAGAATAGTCCACATACAAGACTAGTCAGTCCATAAAATAGTTCACGGACAATTAAAGAAAGTAGTCAATTGACTAGTACATATACTTTTCCCAGTCTAGTCAATAGACTTGTCTATAGTCTAGTCTATAGACCCGTCAAAAGGCTAGTCCATAAACATACTAGTCAAAAGACTACTCTAAAGACTTTGAAATGTAATTTAGTACTTTTAATGTTTAAATTTTACATTACTACTTGTAATGATCACCCCTGGACTCTTAACCGAAGTTAAACTAATATTATAATGAATGACAATATTTACATACATAATGATTTGGAGATTTTATTTATTTCAAAATATCATCGATTTTCAATTGCGTGTAAATTCTTATAATTTAAATCATAAGTTTTGCATTAAATTAATAATTGACATTGACCTAATATCATTAAAATATTTGAACTAATAATTTGAATAATTATTGGGAGTGTAATAATGTAAATATGAATAAACAAATACTTATTTAGTATAGCGTAAGGCATTTGTTGCTTGTTGTTGTTGTTTAATGTTTTAAAAAAGAATTAAAACAACAATTAAATATTGATTATTTATTAGGGTTTAGTATTAACACATACATACCTATTTTGGTTTCTATAACGCAATGAATTTCATTTCAATCATTACTTAAGTGAATGACTATTTCGGTTTCTATAACGAAAGCTTTTATTTCTACCATTACTTAAGTGGATGACTAGACAGACCACGTCCACATTAGCGAGTTGGTTCTGTTTAGTAGGACTTAATCTATTCTAAATACCTATCATGCTTTTTTTAATTTCTCTTTTCATTGTTTTATAAATTGGACTTGGTAATATTTCCGCACTTAAATATTCCAATTATTTGGATTCAATTCATTTGCATACATGACCTTTCCTACGTCAAATTTTATAATAAACACACAAAATAATAACAAATTGTATACAATTTGTTTTGTTGTAAATATATTATGCAAATTATATAAATATAAAAGAAGAAGAAAAAGAAGATGACCAATGTGACAATATGTTTTAAAAATGCATTCAACCTACGTTTTGATCGTAAAAATATCAATAAAAAACTGTTAAAACTTGTAATAAAATTAAAAAAAGTTATGGATTATGTGACAGATCACAGATGTGAAGATGGAAAACATTGCAATGTTATTCATATGGTCACGTTATTAACACCAACTCAAAACTGATGATGGTGCACTCCCTAACACACCCTTTAATAAATAGATTATAAAATTTGACCATTAGAAAAAGTATTGTTATAATTTTTCTTAATTGAATTTTAATTTTAAAACTTCCATATACACATACATACATACATACATGCATACATATAGTACAAGTATAAACTAATAAACAACTGAATGAATGCATTTGTATCTCTTTTGCGCCTGATGATGTATTGTATGTTCCATACAATCTAAATTTAATATAATTACTAATTATTACATGTTATGAAATATGACGAATGATTTTTGTTATTATTATTTATTTCTGTTTTACAAAGGTTTAACCGAGATACCACAATGTCTAACATAAATTTTATTTTTTGTTTTGTATTGTTATAGTCTCGCTGCATAAAATAGTATTTGTATTTTATGATTTTTATTATATGTATTTTTTTCAAATATTTGCCATTGTGTATTGAAAGAAACTACAACTGCTGCTGGTCAGGCTGATGCTGTTGGTTGTTTAAATGGTAAACTGACTAACCTACATTTTACACGTAACCCTGGGAAAACACAAGAGTTTTTTAAATAAAAAAGTAAGTGGAGTTGCATCACCGTTCCGTAACTCGATTTGATTTTATTTTAATTGCAGCCATATTGAATTTATTACTTCGTATGTAAAACATTTCTGAATATATCTGGGTCCTTGTAAAAGGCCCTTCACACGATCACACTTTTCGTACGAAAAAGTCTAATGAAAAAGTAAAATGAAATTCCATCCGTATGACTAAAAAGAGAATAAAAGTAGTAGATTTGTATTTCTTGTTTTTACACGATGGGTAAAAAAGAATAACAAAGTAAGATGGAAACAGCTGTTTTACTTATTTGTATCTGTTTACATAAAAATAGGGGTCTATAGTTAAAACGAAAAGTCGACTTTTCGAATTTTTGCATTTTATGAAAAGACGATTTACGACTTTTTTCATTAAATTAAAAGTCGACTTTTAGACTTTTCGATTTTTAGTATTTTATAAATAGTCGACTTTTCGACTTTTTCCCACTTTTCGTTTTTTTGACTTAGAGTTTTTCCGACTATTTTAGAGCTTTTAACTTTTTTTCCTCTTTTTTAAATTTTCGACTATTTTTGATTGTTCGATTATTCGAAAGTCGATTATTAGAACTCTATTCCTGATCCAATGCGATTTGCTTGTTTTTTGAATCATTTCAAAATATATTTTCTCCCAATGTGTGATGGTTTCATTATATATTGCTTTTAGACGCTCCCATCCGTACTCTTCTACATACAATTTTGTCAGAATGTATTACTTGTGTGTAAAAGGGGCTTAAGATTATACGACGATCTACGTACACATGTTCGCCCGTAGGCACGAAAACGTTTACGAAATGAGAAGCTAGATATTTAGAAATGTATAGTATGGACAAAATAGGTGTACGATTTCCCTTAGCATCCATACAGTTTAAAAGGTCAAAAATACTTTGCTTCGATCTTGATAAAATTTTGCACATCAAAAGTTGATAGTTGTAACAGTTAGGTAGGGCAGTCCTGAACTACCTATTTAACATACCACTTAGGGTTATCCCTTGCCACTGACTACCCAGGTGATTAGCTATTTTTCCCATAGACTACGAAGAGACAGACAAAATGTATATATATCACAGCGGTTGCGACAGATTTAGCTACTAAATCGGTATTTTTACAACTATCAACTTCAAAGTAATAAAGTTTGCTAAAGTAGATTAAGACTGTGGCATAAACCCTAATAAATTTTATTAACGAATGAACAGAAAATTGGCTAATTTTGAGATTCCACTTTTTCCATTTGTATAATATATGGTAAAGATTTTTATTTCATATGAAAGTACAATCCAAAACCATTATTTATGGAATACGACAATGTTCAAATGTTTGTGCGGAAGTACTGGACGTACATTTCACGACACGATCACACAAGTCGGCCCTAACTCGCATTCAATGTATAGACCAGCGATTTAATGTAAACTCAAAAATAGAACATGAAATGAAAAAAAAATCCAAATAATCTTCAATATTAAACTTTTAAAGAATGAAAAGACAATTTCACTA